GATATCTTAACTTAATAAGAATTAAATAAATAAGCATGTAAGCACACATATCATTATACTTTCATGATTTTACCTACTGTTCATTATGCTATATGAATTTTGCACTTTTTATTAAACATCGTAAATTTATAAATAACACAATTTCATAACTGTATGGCTCCATAAGGTTACAGTGAAACCGAAATGATAAGAACGACTGTATGAAACTGAATGAATATTGTATGGCTAGGCTGTTATGACCCGTATATAAATCATATCCACTCAACGGCCTGTAGCCGGAGTACCAAACTGTATGGGACAAAGATCTGCTATCCTATGTCGCGACATAGCCTTATCTACGTGGTGGTGGAATATCGCCAACGAATAAGGAAACATATAAACACATACATATGTAAAGAAATAAAATGTACTCCACAGTATGGAATGTAAGCACACATATCATGATACTTTATTATTCATACCTTGCTGCTCATTATACTGTATGATTATGCACTTTTAGTCTCAATATAACCTGACTATGCCTCCATAAGGTTATAGTGAAACCAACGGTGATTAAAGAAAAACTGTATGAACTGGATGAAATAGCTTGTTATGACTGGGCTGCTATGGCCATTATATAAGCATATCCACTCAAACGGCCTTGTAGCCGGAGACACCAAACTGTATGGGCGCAGATCTGCATTATCTATGCGCGACATAGCCTTATCTAAGTGGTTTCTACCTTAACCTCAAGTGGAGCGTATTATTGGCATGTCAATATATAAAAACAAAAGATATTAACTGCTTCATAACTTCATAACCATACTGCTTTACCTGCTATGCTGGATAGGCCTTCGCCCAAGCGGGCAACTTGTGTCATGTTAGTTTCACATCATTTGCATGCTTGCATTTTGTGTGTTAACAATGTGTTCATGTTGTTTTTTGGTTTAAAATGAATTGAATGCATACAAGTTGAGAAGAAAGTGAATACAATTGCATAGAATCATAAGCTCATACACCATTAGTGTTTATCTCATTCACCATCATTTGCATGCTAGCATGTTGTTTTGTTTATACATGTGTTCATGTTGTCTTTTTATTTTAAAATGATTGGAGGCATGCAAGTTGAGCAAAGGAATACAATTGCATAGAAAAAGAGGTCCAAAAGAGCATAAAAACACAAGTCGCAAGCGCGCCTTGAAAAGTCACGAGCGCGAGAAGCACATATGAGGGTCAGTGAGTTTACAGGTGAGATTCGCAAGCGTACAATGAAATTTGCAAGCGCGAGAAGCACAAAATGAGAGTCAGAGAGTTTACAGGCACAATTCGCTAGCGCGCCATGAAATTCGCGAGCACGCGTCGTGTTTTCCAGCCTACGCAGTCTGTACTATTTTGGTCATATCTCTCAATTTATAACTCTGATTTGTGTGATTCAAAAACCCATTGAAATCTAACACATAGAGGAACAAATAACTCTTTATGACAATTCTAGCCATTCATTAAATAGGAGTCAAAATCAAGGTGAATTTACTGTTACTTCCAGAAAACCTGTTTCAGCATGAACTCAAATTTACTTCCATTGATCATTTCATCTCATGCTTTTTCACCTTTTCAGTCATTCGTTACTCAACATAACAACATAGCCTCCTCATTTCAACAATCACAATCTCATTTTCAACACATCACACAAATTATCATGTAAGGAAATGAATTAAACTAAAAGAGATAGCACACCTTCACTTAACAAGCTTGAAATCTTCGTCTTAGCCTCCTTTTCCCTTTGAGCTTACTTCATCTATGAATAAGAATTCTTATGAATCATCTAACAAAAATATCACCAAATGAGTCAAGTGTGAAATTCAAGAAGGTTTACTTACTTGGTTAGACTAGATGTTGAATATAATGCTTGAATCCCATGAAAATTGATGGAGAAAGGAAGTAGATGAAGGAGATGAAGAAGATAAAGATGAAAAATGGTAAAGTGAATGGAAGTCTCGGGTACATCTCCAAAAATATCATGATTTTGTGTGAAAATTACCAAATGGTACCTCAAGTGTCAAAATGGTACAACTCTTTAGTGCAACCAAGTCCTAATCCTTATACTTTGATCTTTTTGTTTCCTTCAAGTAAGTCCACTTCTTTTCCTGATTTCAATTACCTCCCATTCTACCTCACTCTAGACTCTAATGGCTCGAACCGGGTTTTGGATCAGCCCGAATCGACTCTAAGCAACGACTCGATTCAATAGAAAAATGAGACGTTACATATTGTTAGGTAATTTCACTTTAATTGGTATGATTTTCTTATATGAGGTAAAAAATGAAAGAGAAGTGGATATATGGTCTGTGTCACCTGTATAAAAAATCCAAGATCCAAGGTCTGCCACAAAAGCAAGGATAAAATGATTACCTGTAGTCTTTTGATTACCTTTTGAAGCAATCTGTTATGGTTGTTTGGTTGGAATATCATTTGCAGTGGCGATGTGATTTACTAAGCTATTAGACAAAGATTGATCTTGAATCAAATATAGGAGTTTCTGGTGTTGCTTAGGGGTGAAAAGCATAGCTTCATGAGAGTTTTGCTTAGGAAAAGAGGGCTGCAAACCAAAGTTATCTGATCTTTCAACCTTTTCTTCAAAAACAGCATTGGCACTTGCAGTGGGAAAATTAGGATTCTTAAATTTAAATCCTGGTGGAAAGCCATGCTTTCTATAACAAGTTTCAATGGTGTGCCTTTCCCTTCCACAATAAGAACAAACTTTAACACCAGTATTATTGTGAAAACCTCTTCCTCTAAAGGAATTGTATTGTCCTCTGCCTGTTCCTTTTTTTCATCCTATTAACAACGAACTTTGGACTCCACAGACCATGCTAATCTGCCTTTCTTGTTATTACTAAGGAGAAGAAAACCTTGTTAATTGAAGGTAAGGGTTCAATTAACATGATCTGAGTTTTGACATTAGAGAAATTCTCATTGAGTCCCTTCAAAAACCTGACTACATAATCTGATTGCATATCGCTCTTAAAAGTCAAAATTGCACCACAATTGCAGGTTATCTCACATGAACAAATAGGTATTGGCCTAAAATTCAACAATTCATCCCATAAGATCTTTAACTGTGTTATTCAGTGACTTAAAGATCACCTTGCTTAAAGTCATAGATTTCTTCTTGCAATTTTGAAATACATATAATGTCACCTTGAGAAAAACAATCTCGCAATTCATTCCAGACATCAGCAGCGATGTCTATCCACAAAACACTTTGAGTAATCGAAGGTGAAAGTGATTTAGTAATCCAGGATAACAACATAGTGTTGCATCTCTCCCAAGTTGAGCGCATCGGGTCTGTTTTTGTTGGAACCATGATTGAACCATCAATAAAAGTGAGTTTGTTCTTGGAAGTTAGCGCCATTTTCATTGCCCTGACCCAAGAATGGTAATTTGATCCATTAAGAAGAGGTGATACAAGAATCAATGCAGGATTCTCGTTTGGATGAAGGAAGAAAGGATTGGAAGGATTTTGAAGGTGATCCGCCATTGTAGATAAAAGGAGAATTTCTGTAACTATTCAAGTATGAGATTTGATTGAGGGAAAATGAAAGCTTATATTTATAAATCTGTGAGTTTGATTATATATAAGAAATAAGAAGATAGCAAAAAGAAATAACAAATGAGGAAGTTGTAACTTCCTATAGAGTTTTGCTAACAAACTGAATAAGTTACAACTAATCTATTGCCAGTTAAGCAATTAGTTACTTAGTGGGCCAGTCTCTTTCTTTTGCTTTCTTTTCATTTTGTTTTCGTGTACTGTGTATTTTTCACTGTCATTTATGGTTAACACTAAAGTGTGAAAGTGAAGGGCAGTAATTGAACCCTGCAAATTTTAGGAGGCCACAAGGAAAATCGGTTTCAAGGTCAAATTTACGAAATTAGGCTGTAGCATTTTATAAACTGAACCTTGAGTAGCTAACTAGGGTTGATTCATTTACGGCCATATTTGTTGGTGAGAAATGAGAACAACGAAAGAGAAGAAATATCCTCATCTCAGGGCAAAAGTAATGAATGGGAGGGGGCTAAATGCTTGTATAGATGGTATTAATCGCACAACGTGGAGGTTTATTAGAGCCTTCCCAAATGGTGTGGTTCTCATGGCTCAACGCTGTCACCAGGAGACAATGGTAATTGGTAGGCAGTCCCACTCCAAAAGGACAACTCAAAATTTAAAGACGGATAGTGAAATATTATCCCCAAACAATGCCACATTGAAACTTTATAGCCTCATAATCTTTGACCCTCTTGTCCTTTCCACCCTGTACATTTTCATGCATTAGGATTTTTTTTTTTCTTTTCTTTTCTTTTTCTTCATAATTAATTAACAATTTGGATTAATTCGTTAGCAGCCATTATACTAGCTAAATTGTATTTTATGCAATTCTAATTTTTTTTCCCTTCATTTTCCAAAAAAAAAAATAATAAATAAAAGCTGAAAGAACCAATTATCATATGTATAAGCCTATTTGACATTAAATTGAAATTGCTCCTTTCTTTTTAAATATTATTAGAAAAAACAGTTCCAATTTCCTATTCAATTATTTTGAAATTTCAAAAATTAAATTAAGTAAAATTCACCTTAAAGCTGACAAAATATTTTTCTCAATTCAATCAATAATGTGTAATATGACAAAAGACAATTAATTAGATTATTAATTAGCCCATTAACTGAGTCATTTATAAGCCAATTGGGTGTGTGTTTTTGGTTAATTTTTTCACGGGTACGAAGAATGAGAAGTCTCGAATTCGAGTCCTCCCCATCATAAGAGTTTTCACAATCTAGTACGGTTTGAGTTTCAGTTATAGAAGGAAGTGGAATAGGAACACACATTTTTCTGTTAAACGATTTGACATTGACAGTAGAAGTTTAACCTTGGAATTGAAGATTTGTTTTTCTGGTAGTAATTTTCTAATGTACAGAAACTTCAGCAGCAGAAATTTGGATAAAATAGGAAGTACAGCACCTAGAAATGGAAGGCTAAGATAAAAACTAACAAAGGCGAATAATTGTCCTTTACAATTCGGGCTGGAGCTTATGGGAGTGGGACAGTTGAAGGCACAAGCTTCCCTATTTATGGTGAAAGAAAAAACCCAACATTATCTTTCTACCTTATAATTTTCTCTTTATATAATCCAAGACAAAAAGAGAAAAAAAGGAAGAGACTTGAAACTATTTTTATCTAATAATCCAAAAAGCCTTATGTGGGTTGTTTGTGTTGTGGTTCAGCAATGCATGCCTTCAACTGTTTTTGATCTCAACTGTGAGCATCTTTCGTAACTAGCTTTCTGAATCTGTTATTTACAGTATATATCTTGCTTGAGCTATTTTTGAATTTGTATTTTTCTGCAATATATATATATATATATATATAGGTCTGCAAGAGTTCAGTACTTGTATTGCAATTTTTAATTTGGGTTGTTAAGTGTAATTCTTTACTATTTGATTGGTATTTCATCCATTTGCTATTGAATAAAGAAGTTCTTTTAATGAATATGCGCTATTTACAGTTTAATTAAGAGTTGAAAAAAATGGAGAAAGTGAATTTAAGTGTTAATGCAAATGATGAATCCATTAATAGAGAAGAAAGGAAATCAATTGAGGTCTTTGATCCTACACGAAATAATGCTAATTTTGGACGGGAAACTCTTCCTGCAGAACCTTTTAGTTCTAGTAGCAGCGGCAGCAGGAAGAAGCCCGTGAACAAGTGGATGGCATTTGAAAAAGGTTCTGATAAATCCAAGATCTCTGCCGATGATGCAATAAGAGAAACAATGGAATCGAAAAATAGTTATTTCAATGGACAAGCTTCTTCCAAGAAAGTATTAACAGAAGCAAGCATAGCAGAAAGGACTGCAGAATGGGGACTTGTTGTGAAGTCAGATGTGGGGGACGGTAGCTTCAAAGCAATTAAGACATCATCTGGAGATGGAAATAGGATTAAAACCTCATCAGAGAGATTCGCAGTAGATTCCACAAGAACATCGGAGGAATCAGAAGCAGGAGCCTTTCCAAGGGTATCACAAGAGTTGAAAGATGCTCTAGCAACACTACAGCAAACTTTTGTTGTGTCTGATGCTACCAAACCAGACTACCCTATAATGTATGCCAGCAGTGGATTTTTTACTATGACCGGCTATTCTTCCAAGGAGGTTGTTGGAAGGAACTGGTAATGTTCACTTATCCTTCTGCAAGTCTGTAGTTATGCTATAAAGAGTCAATCTGCTAGTAATATTACTCAGTAGCATAGCTACACACACACACACACACACACACACACATATATATATATATATATGAAAAAACTGAGGCATAAGTACTTTGTATTTGCAGCCGGTTTCTCCAGGGTCCAGAAACAGACAGCAAAGAAGTCGAAAAGATACGAGATGCAGTCAAAAATGGGAATAGCTACTGTGGTAGGCTTCTTAACTACAAAAAAGATGGCACTCCTTTCTGGAATCTTCTGACGGTCACCCCCATCAAAGATCACCACGGCAATACTATCAAATTCATTGGGTCAGTTATTATGAAAGCACGTTTCTCTTTCTTGGAAAAAGTAAATACATGAAAATAATCATCTTTGTAACAATGCAGAATGCAGGTGGAAGTCAGCAAATACACTGAAGGTATCAACGAAAAGGCTTTACGTCCTAATGGATTGCCCAAGTCTTTAATCCGCTATGATGGTAAAAGAAAGAAAAATGAATGTGTATAATTTTTGGTTTTCTATTATTAGACATTTAGAAACATGAATGCATGTATTTATTTCATTTATCTCAATCAGCTCGACAGAAGGACAAGGCTTTAGATTCCATGACAGAGGTTGTTCAAACTGTCAAAGATCCCAAATCTCATATTCGAAGTACGAGCCATGATGCATCCAACAGTCTTGACTATTTTCTGCCTAAATCTATTCACTTTGATACCGTCCATGCTAGTTCTCCTCACTTGGACTTGTCAAATGATGTCTCTGAGGAAACTGAGAAGAAAACTAGAAGATCAAGTGGAATTTCAAAGGGGTATGTCTCCCTTCTCATTTCCATCTTTCCTTTAGATTTTCTAAACACTTTATTGACAAAGCAAATATAAAGTAATCTATTTAGCTGTTAATTGATATTGTACTATTATACAATGTGTTGTGTGATAATGCTCCTGCAGGTTCAAACCAAGGTCTCAAAGTTATGCAGGAGTACGTGAAGCACCACCACCAACTGTTGAACCAGAGGTTTTGATGACCAGAGATATAAAACTTTCCAACAGTTGGGAGCATGCTGACAGAGATAGGGACATACGACAAGGAATTGATTTGGCAACCACATTGGAACGCATTGAAAAGAATTTTGTGATCTCAGATCCTAGACTTCCTGATAACCCTATTGTAAGTCACAATTTCATGACTAGTATAACATGCTCAGCTTTACCATCATCTTTTATGGTAGCGAACTTGCAATCTGTGAAAGAAATGTGCAGTTTAACACAATACAAATTTAATATGGTCTTTCCTGTTCAGATATTTGCATCCGATAGCTTTCTTGAACTAACAGAATATACACGAGAAGAAATCTTGGGAAGAAACTGTCGGTATGAACAATTAAATTTTTTATGTGTTCATTTTGTGACCATCTGCACTATTTTTCTTCATTTTATAAGGCTCCCATTCCTGTATTCCTCATTATTTGGCAATATTAGTAGTTCTTTCCTCTATTATCTAGGCACTTAAAAGTGTTATTCTCAACTTTTTGATAGTATTCTAATTTGCTTCATAATTGTACAGGTTTCTTCAAGGACCTGAAACAGATCAAGCAACTGTCTCTAAGATAAGAGATGCTATTAGAGAACAAAGGGAAATTACAGTTCAGTTGATCAATTACACGAAAAGTGGTAAGTATTCGAGCTTGTGTTTCCTATGATGCATTTATAACACAAATTGAAATACCTACATGCTATAAAGAAAAATAAACATTGGGAGCTAGACATATATACTCCTTGTCAAAGATGTGATTCTTTTTTGTGTTGTTATTGTATAAATTCATATGATTTTTATTATTTGCAGGAAAGAAATTCTGGAACTTATTCCACTTGCAGCCTATGCGTGACCAAAAGGTGGTTATTTACTGTGCTAGACAACCATCTCATACTCAAGTTAAAAGATACTTCAATTTCTCATTTGATCTTTGTTATCTTGTTTAGGGTGAGCTTCAATACTTCATTGGTGTTCAACTGGATGGAAGCGATCATATGGAACCTTTGCGCAATCGCCTTTCGGAGAAAACCGAGCTACAAAGTGCTAAGTTGGTAGGTTACTTCTCTATCATTGGTGTTCCTTTTTTCAGCAGATATCAGAGTTCTCATTGTTTTGAAGCTTTCTTTGTTGTTTACCAGGTTAAGGCAACTGCAGAAAATGTTGATGGAGCTGTTCGAGAGCTTCCTGATGCCAACTTGGTAAGGTACTCTTTTCACTAGACTCACAATTAGTTTATATATTCTGAGAGATTATCATTCTCTTCTTTTGACTATTTCTGAGTTTTCAATTTTTCTTTTTCTTTTATATGATAAATACCAACTCTGCAACTTTTCCAAAATGAATGAAATCTAAATGTAAAAGAGGTTAAGATGTCTGAATATTATAAAATTCTGATGTTCTATATGAAAATATGATAAAAATTTACAATTTGAGCATAAGAATTAGGATCTTTATCTTCTCAAATGTACTTGTAGTTGAAATGTCAATTTATTCTTTCCTAAGCAGTGAAAAGTTAAAGATACTCAATGAAATGCTTATATTGATATTCTTTACTTGTTACTACATTAACTTACTGTTTTTGAGAAATTATACTGCATATAGCGCTTGCAACTTATATAAAATGAAATATTCCAGAGACCAGAAGATTTGTGGGCAATTCACTCGCAGCCTGTCCATCCATTGCCTCACAAAAGGCACAGTCCTTCTTGGATAGCAATACAGAAGGTGACAAGTTATTTAAGTATTTTCTGGTATTCATACTGTGGGGATAAAGAACAAAAATGTATACTAAAGCTATTTGAAATTATAACTATCTTTCTGTCTTCGTAGATCACTTCTCGAGGTGAAAAAATAGGTTTGGAACATTTCAAGCCCATAAAACCCTTGGGTTGTGGTGATACTGGCAGGTAATACTGTGGTGCTTGTTGGTTCATGTTCTTGAGCTGCCGTTTTCTTGGTCTGTTTCAGTTCTAGTTTGTTTGGATTTCAATTTTTAACATTGGTTTTGTATTTGATTCAGTGTTCATTTGGTGGAACTGAAAGGTACAAGCCAACTGTATGCTATGAAGGCAATGGAAAAATCTATGATGCTGAATCGTAATAAGGTTTCCATATAAACACTTAAAGGTTTTCCTGTTCTGGAAGTCGCATACATTGATAGCTTTGAACTATATCATTTATAACTTCAGCATTCACGGTAAATAATCTACAGGTACATAGAGCATGCATTGAAAGAGAGATCATTTCACATCTAGATCATCCCTTTCTACCCACATTGTACACTTCATTTCAGGTATTGTAATCACAGCTTTTCATAAGTTTCCTTATACGAATTTCTGAAATAACCCAGTATTTGTAGCACAGAAAGAACATCTTAAAATTTTCCGAAATATTTCTACTTCCATGTCACATTTATATGGGAAAGACATTATTTATGTTGTTCGAAATCATTGTTGGTGCTTGTATCGATGTTTGCTTGACTTCTGTTAGTAAAGCTGCACATTCTATTCTATAATTTAGCAAATTTCGTCGCCACAGTACCTTAAACTTCTCACCTTTCATTGGGTTTTACTTACTGATTGAATAATATAATTTATGATGTTTCTTTATCTCCTCAGACTTCTACACACGTTTGTCTGATAACAGACTTTTGTCCTGGCGGAGAGCTCTTTGCACTACTTGACAAACAACCTATGAAATTATTTAAGGAGGATTCTGCAAGGTATTTTCAGTTCTATTCTCTGACTAGCAGAATATTATTCGGTTTGTTGTACAATTTTGTTAGAGTAAAATAAAAAGTAAATCATCGTAAAAGTTCCATTTGGTTTTAGAACCTAACACTAATTGCATCTCCAGATTCTATGCAGCAGAGGTTGTCATTGGCTTGGAATATCTTCACTGTTTAGGTACTTTTATAAACTGGAAAACATATATTTTATATATAAATCTCCATTGTTGCTCACCTACTATCAATTTTTTTTTAACTTGTGCAGGAATAATTTATCGTGATCTGAAGCCAGAAAATATCTTACTCGAGAAGGACGGACATGTTGTCTTAACTGACTTTGATTTATCATTTATGGCATCCTGCAAACCACAAGTAAGCCATTACCTTCCTGTTTTACAAAATTATATTTCTCCATTTTGTTCATGTTTAGCTATTTGGCTTCTTGAAAACAAAAAACCCTTTTCTTCATCAAATCCCAAAAGCTACATTCTTCTTATCAAAGATTGAAATAACAGAATTCAATTTCTGCAGCAAAATATCATGAAAATGTGGATTTTAAATGTCTAATTTTCCATGAAAAATACATGTTATATGCAGATAATAAAGCACCCGCCACCTAAGAATCGAAGAAAATCAAGAAGCCAACCTCCGCCAACATTCGTTGCAGAGCCAATAACACAGTCAAATTCTTTTGTTGGAACTGAGGAATACATTGCTCCTGTATGGTGATCTTTCCCTTCTGTTTACAGGAGATTCTACAAGTTTCTAGAATCACAGGAAATATTTTTAATGGGAATGATTTGGATTACTAAAAATCAGAAATGATTGGATTTTCAGGAAATAATCACAGGCACAGGACACAGTAGTGCCATTGACTGGTGGGCTCTTGGTAAGGACATTGTGATCTATGAATAAACTTTTTTTTTTTTTTTAAAGAAAAAATAACCATGTGAAGTATTTATTTGTGGGATTCATTCAGGTATTTTGTTGTATGAGATGCTATATGGTCGCACGCCTTTCAGAGGAAAGAATAGACAAAAGACATTTGCCAATATTTTGCACAAAGATCTCACCTTTCCTAGCAGCATCCCTGTAAGTTTATTTTATTTATTTTATTTTTTTATTCGTAGAAAGATCCGATAGACCAAGATAATATTACAGGCTATATAATAAAGATAGTCCTACCTTCAAATAATATTCTTCGAACCATAGTTATTAAACGTAGTTTGACATAACGGGTCAACTTAGAGAATTGGCTTTGAAATTAGCTGATTTTGCTTTTGAATCATTTAAAGAAGGGAATCAAATTGATCCAACCTATGCAAACTCAATCCAATTGACTTGGATCGATTTTTTTTATATTTTAATTATTTTTTATTATATTATAATTAGTTAATTAATATATATCATATATATTTTTATAACCCACTAATTGAACCATTGATTCATCGGTTACACCAATGACCCTTCACCCAATTCTTTAGTCAGGTTAATATCCGAATCAGTTTAACAACACCGTTTCAGACTCTAAACTCCTACTATTCCTATCTTTTACAAGATATGAGAAGACTAATCAAACTATACCTCGTTAGAATAATAATTTTATTAATCATGTGAGAGAAATTAATAATCATAAAATGATTACGTTATATTATATTACAATTTACAGGTTAGTCTTGCTGGAAAACAACTGATTAATGCACTGTTGAGTAGAGACCCCAGCACCCGTTTGGGATCAAAGTCTGGTGCCAATGAAATCAAAGAACACTCTTTTTTCCGTGGAATTAATTGGCCTCTCATCCGCTGCATGGTACGCTCTCTTTCTTTCTTTCTTTTTTTTTTTTTTCAAAAACTTTTCTCAATTCAAATTGATAACACATAAATTTGGTTGCAGAGGCCCCCAGCTCTGGAGGTGCCTCTTCAGCTAATTGAAAAGGATACTATGGCCAAAGAAGTTACATGGGAAGATGATGGAGTGCTCGACTCTTCTGTGGATATGGATATTTTCTAAAAAGGTTCTCATGAATTTATTTATTTGCAATGTATAGCTTTCCACCTAGGTTATACAAATACCTTAAAAGAGTCGATATACATGTATCCTACCCATTACCGACACCTCTCGGATATTCTTGTACACGTTTCGAACATTTTAAAAACCATGTCCTATTATTTATTTTACTTTATTAATTTTGGATAGTTTAAGGACACTTCTAAAGTGTTCCATGTCTGTACAACCTAGCTTTCCGCTGTATGTTTTATATAGCAATCGGTAAATTTGCTTCGCTTTTACAGAACCCAGATTCCAGATATATATATGCATGAGAAGATGCTTCAAGTTTCATTGGTTTACTGTTTGAAGGCGTCTCTCCCACATTTGTTAATTCTGCAGTATCTGTTAATTGTTTTTGTAAATGAGAGATTATGCAATTTCCATTTTGCTCTCCTTCAGAGCATGAGTTTGCGTCAGCTTATGAAGCTAAAGTATTCATATAGATAGGAGCCATATATATAAGGAAGCACACAAGTTTTGGTGGTCACAACCACCAGCCGGCCGGAGATTGCTTCCGGCAATGTAGAAATCTGACTTATATTTCTCAATGCAGTACATATTCCGAATAATCAAATTTAGATGCTACCTAGCTAAGCTTTATATTGATATGGTTCAAAATCTTTTCAAATCGGTATGTCGTATTATCCAGTGTAATCTATCCATAGCCTCACAGATCATGTTATGTGACTATATTCTAAGAGAAAGTAGGAAATCCTATAGTAATGCAACAAATAATATAACCTGATATATTGGATGACTCCAATGACATAAATATCCTTGTGTTGGAACCACAATGGCAACTGAACAATATTCTTATGGTGCCTAAAAAGCATATTTTTTGAACAAAAACAGAAAAAAAAGTTAATTTTGATAACCTAACACTATGTACTTCAGCTGAACAATTGCGTCCGACTCCGAGCCAAAAGTCCCCCAACTAGCCGGGGAAATATATTCAATGAGGCAGCACAACACCACATAATACCATTTTTTGGACTCTCAGGAAAGTGTTATTACAGTAAAGGATAATCCCTTTTCAAGTCCAAGAGATCCCACAACACTAAAGACATCAGTAGGGAAACTGGTATGGCCTTATTGCATCCTTCAGGATACTATGATAGAGACTAAGTTTACTAGTTTTATTGGGGAGCAGAAACGCCACCGTCGTCGCCATTGCAACCACCAACATCACATAGGCTCAACCAACATTCACTTTATAATAACACAAATCTTACTAATCAGAAAACAACTTATCACCAAAAAGAAAAAAAGAATAATGTTCGTTCCTGATGAACCATGGACATGGTGGGAGATTTGGTTCACCTAGGAGAAATTTGAGAACACAACCTAGGGAATAAATGTTCCATCAGTCTATGTTAACAAAAATGTTGGCTTCCACTTAATTAGTTGTTGCAGTATTTAACAAATATCACCGCCAACCACATCCACATTTTCACAGTGCATTTGAGTCATAATCATCATCAGTTGACAAAAGCCCTAATATAATGCGTAGGAGTCACATTTGATATAAAATACATGCATAACATATTTCACATATCAAACAGAAAAATTGTAGTGCACATCAACACTGGCAACACAGCACCTCAAAGTCAATGAACACAAAATACAATTGCTCTTTCATATCTTACTTGGTGGCCTGTGCAATAATATTACTTATGGAACTGGCCTGCTCTTTTGCAGTCTCCACCAATGAATCCTACAGCTCAATGAATGATGCACTCAGAAGCTGGTAAGAAGCTAAAACTGATGATATTGTGGGCAAAAGACATTATACCTGTGCAGCTATTAGCCTGGCAACTGTTTTCTTGCTTGACTCTTGGAGCTCACCAGCGATCAAAAGCTCATCCAGTACATAATAGGCCTTCCATGTTAAAGAAGCAAACAACTAAGCAAAGAACATTCCACATTCATGTACACAAAATAAACAATAATAATCTAATTAAATTACCGATTGTAGCATAATTACTGGTAGCCATAAACCAAAGTTAACTTTCCAATGCTAAGTTAAAGGAGGGGAGCAACGAAACATGAAACAAATCCTGACTGGAAGACAAATAAACACTACCTTATGGAAGTTGAAGATCAAGTCTAGCTCACACACCTGCATGGAAGCACAATCAATTATCACAAAATCAAAATGTAGGACCATGTAGCATGGCTCTTTTTCTTTTCCCTTAAGAAAACATGGTCATTTTCAAAGAAATAACAATTCATTTTGAAAACAGGATTTCCTTCAAGAATTTAGCAAACTCGCAAAAGACAAAAGTATCCACAAGATAAGCCCAATAACAAGACAAGTCCACCATATGACTGATCACATTGACTGCAAGTCACCATTTAGAGTTCCGATCAGCCTCTACCAGAAGTCAAAAACCATCACAACTGAACTTTGAGGGTAGAGAGTGTTAAAAGGGTAAGAAGTAGACCTAGAACCGCTTAGAGGAAAGTGGTTGCTAAAAATCTATGGTCTCTGGTCTGGAGATTAATTATGAAGGAACATAATGGAGATAAAAGATTCATATATTTGACTCAAACATTCTATGCTTAAGGCTTTTTATTATTGTCTGTCTTATGCTCGTATATTACTTAATAAAGCAAATGATTTTCAAAATTTTTAACAAAATTATTTTCTTTTTTCCAAAATCCTTTGTTTCTTATTTTATGCTTTGCTTACTTCTTGCTATTATTGAACAAAGCGAATATTATAATAAATGATTCATGTAGCCGACCCTAACCAGTTTGGGACTAAGGCTTAATTATTGTTTTTGTTGTATAGATTAATGCAAAACACCAAACACACAAAGGTCATATATTTATATTATGCATACCCACTCAATACACCAACACAAGAAAAAATATTTACCATATGCAAATCATTTTCCAAGAAACAAAGAGCCTAAATGGAAATGAGTAGAGACAGTTTTAAGTTCACTCACACTGCCAAAGTATCGGTCCAGAATCTCAACAAAATGATGGATTATTTCGAGGACCTCTAACTCATTGTCGTCCTGATCAATGCACATGCAGAAATATAGACTGGCATACCTGCATATGCATTGGAAGCAACAATTGATCAGCTCTAAGATGGAAACACATACTTCACAGAGTCTCTACATAACAATGAAGGTACTTCTATATTCTTGCATTACCTTTTATAAACAACTTTATATCCCCTCCATTCAACAAAATTACAAAGCTTGGGCCCTCGAGTCAGAATTACCCCACTGAGCTCACGAACAACCTTCACAAAGTGCATTGCCGTACTTGAATAAATATTAATAGTGTTAAGAAAGCACAATATGTTTTAGAAGGATTTTCTACAGAATGTATGCCACCAAGACCAACAATCTATCATCAATTGGCCCTCTTACAAAAAAATTTATTTCAAAATATGGAATCCCTAATGAAAAGATATAAAAGAACAAAAGTTTAGCCATTACCTTAGTTCTTTCCTTCTGTGAATAAGGCGAATACCATTTTGTCAATCTCACTTTTCCTTGTCGACTTATAAGAAGGACAAAATGAATCTAGTATGCAGAGGAACATAAACCATTAGTGCTTTTGTATTCATATATCACAACTGATAGAATTACATCAATGAAATAAGTTCGTAAATCATTGTTACATAAATCATTTCAAGATAATTAGAAGATATACAACAATAACAACAACCAAGCCTTAATCCCAAACCAATTGGGGTCAGCTATATGAATGCTTTATTTCTATATCCATTGTTCAATTAAACAATTAAAATATAAACTGGAAAAACTTTTGAAATACTTTTTGTGAAATGGTAAGATGTGTATGATAAAAAACAATAATTTCATATTTGAATGGGAAGGCTGAAAGTAAATCACACTCATACAAAAGAGACTATTACTTTCTTGCTTACTTCTCATTTTTATTCAGTCCATTATTAAACCCAGAAACGAAACAGATCCCTTTACACCTAATGACCACTGATTAAGAGAAATCACAAGTGGGATTTTTTTTTTTTTTTTGAATTTCTATATCCATATGTTCAATTAAACAATTAAAATATAAAACTGGAAAAAACTTTTGAAATACTTTTTTGTGAAATGGTAAGATGTGTATTGATAAAAACAATAATTTCAATATTTGAAATGGGAAGCTGAAAGTAAATCACACTCCATACAAAAGAGACTATTACTTTCCTTGCTTACTGTTCTCATTTTTATTCAGTCCATTATTAAACCCAGAAACGAAACAGATCCGCTTTACACCTAATGACCACTGATTAAGAAAAAGAAATCACAAGTGGGATTTTTTTAGTGGGATTTTTTTTTTTTTTTTGGGTCGGTTTTTATTTTTGAAATTGGTATATATGATGAGTTAAACAAAGAAACAATGTAAAATTATCAACTTATCATCTCTTACTTGTACACAATTAAACTATTTCGAATATATTATAATTTTAAAATCAAAAACCATCAAGAATCGGAATCGCAAAGCAATCAACCATTGTTCCGTTCAGACTGGCGAAATTGAGCAAATTGAAACAAGACTACGAGTAAAAGATCACAGATACGAATAATTCGATCCAATTTTTTGAATAACTTGAACAAATCTAAAGAGAAGGAAACCAATAGAAAATGCAAAAATGAAGAAGAAAAGTTAAATTACGGAAATCACAAGGGAAACAGATCGACGGATTAAAGAACTTACCATATTATATTATCTTGTTTGTCTGTTCTATTAAGAGCTATCAAAAGAATTCAAAATCTCTGCTGCAGCGAAACTACTGTGTCCGTCTATTTCGTTCCTTCGTTTTCAATACAGTCTCCTGCTTCAGCTGTAAAATTTAATTTTAAAAAGTTGTTTTTTCCTTTTTTAAACAAAATAAATTTTATAGTTTCTAAACTTTTTTTTTTTTTTTTAAGTATTTGAATGGAAAAATTTACAGATAAGTGTCCCATTGTTTTTGAAAAATAACTTCTCTTAAAAGAAAATCTTTTTTCTTTGAAAAGTGTTATTTAAATAACTCAATTTTTATTATCTAGTTTGTTGTAATATTAAAAATTAGTTTAAAATGTTAAAATTTTAAATTTGTAAGACTATAAATATTTTTAATTATAAAAATTTTATATTCTAAAAATTTATTATCAAATATGAAGAAAAAAGTGCACAAAAATAATAAATTATGAACACATCAATGCGTAATCCAATGGTAAATACATATACAATCGGATAATAGATTCAGATTCAAATCTCCTCTCAATACCCAAAAATAAAAAAATAAATTGCGATAGTCATTATAATTGCTTTTCCAATATCATTCTTCGTTTGAAAACGAGAACCATTTTCTTTCAAAATGACTTAATTTTTTTACTACCAAAAAAAATATTCTACATTGCCTGATTTTCTTTAGCACCTAAATATCGGAAATTTAGAACACATTTTTCATATAAGATATTTTATGGAAACAAATAAAATTTAAGTGTTTGAACTATTAAAAAAATTACGATGAAATGCATTTGGCCACATTATTTGCCGAAAATTTTAAAACAGTTTTATTCAACAAATGATATCAAACAAAAATATTTATTAACTTCATCTCTTTTTTTCCATTTTAATTTTTTATTATTTTATATTTGTTATCTTTAACAAAAAAAAGTCTCAAAATTTTCTTCTAATTTTCTTTCAATGCCATAATAATGTTAAAAGAAAAATGAATAAAAAATAAATGCAATAATCTAGATAATTAAATAAAATAAGTCATTTTGACGTTTTCCTGAGAAATTTCGGCTAATTGCACTTAATTATATTAAAAGTATTAATTTAGATATTTAATTGTAAAAGATTTTCCATTTAAACACGAAAATGGAAAATACTAAAAAATTAATGTACTAAATTTATAATGACTCATTCTTTTTTTCCTTCAAGTGGAGTTTTAAATTAACCAAGCAGAACTTCGTTGAACTTGAACTCAATTTGTGTTTAAAGGCAAAATTCGAGTTCGGCTCGTTTAAAGGGGAAAAAAAAAAAAAAAGAACTGTAACATTAAATTTAGTAGTTTAACTATAGGGTTCAATTTGATCCAACCATAATAAGGGGTTTATGATAGAGTAAAGTTTGATATTTACAAACCTTATAACAATTATGAATAATCATAAGATAAGTTTCCGAGTTGTAGAGGACATTTAATTAAATTGATTCATATAGTCGATTTGTAGGTAACAATTATATTATAGGCATTCGAGCTTATTTTGGTTTAGCTATTTATACCAGCTGATAGCTAATGATTGATAGTGATTAGCAAATCTTCGTAATTTTGATAATGGATGTTAAAATGTAAGATTACTATTAAGAATATAATTATTTATATTATAATGTATAGTATATATTTTGTTTTTAATTTTTAGGATGAATATATTTTTTTATTTTAATATGTCATATAAATAGTTATATGCATTTTTTTTTTTTTTTTTTTTATTTTAATAATGTCATATAAATAGTTAAATTTTTTTTTTTTTTTTGAAGAGAGTAGATATATGCATTTAAAAAAATAGAAACCAAATTTGATTATTTTTAAATCTAACGAGAAACAAATTTTGGATTTTGGCTTGACAAATTTAGTTAGTTTTATTGTAAAATAAACTTATTTTCTATAATTGTAACAAAAATCAAAACCAAAGTTATCTAAAATTTAAAAAAAAAAAAAACAAATGAAATTTTTTTTTAGAGAAAGATTGGCAAGGCGAGGAGTGAATATTGATCCGAAGTGTCTGTTTTATTACTCAGTTGAGGACGTTGATCATGCTCTGCTGGGTTGTGTGAGAGCTAAGGCCATTTGGAGTTATGGGGACTTTAATCCCCCTGCTAACAGTAACAGACTTTAAAAAAAATTTTCTTGCATGTTTTGGCTCATCCAATTACTTCACGTCCAAGTTTGTTTTCTATTTATGCATGGAGTATATGACACTCAAGAAATACTTTTATATGGACAACAAGCATGTCACATGTTTTCAAGTCCATGCAAAGCATCCAATTACATGCATGAATGGAAGTTGGCCAGGGCTACAGGTCCTAGTCATCCTAATCCAGCAGTCCAGGTGGCACCCCGCTACACCATTCCTAGTGATGTGGCAGTCTCGACAACATGGGTTGGCTTTGTAGATGGTGCGGTGTTTAGCAGTGCTGGGCTGTGTGGATTTGGTGCGTTATTTGAGAATGAGGAGGGTCGTTTCCTCAAGGCTGCTTCTGGCTACAACGAAGGCAGTAACTCAGCACTGCTACGTGAAGCTCTAGCCTTGCGAAGCTGACTCCAGTTTGTACACTCCCAAATGCAAGGCCCAAGAATTTTATTTACCGAGTCCCAGTTAGTTTATTTAGCTATTATGTCCAATGCACTAGATTTCTCTGAATTTGATATTTTAATTTTGGATTGTAAAGCTCTTATTAGAGATAGGAGATAGGTACGATGTTCCTGTCAAGTGAGTTAGGAGACTGGGAATATAAGTGCTTATGGATGCTCACACACTAGCAGTTCAAGTTTCGATTCAAATTCCCCAATGATTGTTGGATTCCTTGAGTTAATACAACGAGTGTTTTCTCTTTTTTTTTTTTTTTTTTTTTCATTAATCATATACGCTAAAGTCGAATTAATTAAAATTGAATTAAATGGTTTAATTCAATTTTTTTTTTTTTTTTTTTTTTTCATTATCTATACGCTAAATCGATTAATTAAAAATTGAATTAAATTGGTTTAATTCAATTTTTCGATTTTAACCGATCTTGCTCACACCTATCTAATCAAATTAGGCGAAATTTAAAGTGTTCTTCCTAACAACAACACAAAGAGGAAAAAAAAAAAAAAAAAACATACCTTGTGACATTAAAATATTTGTAAGCACAATGTTCCTAGCTGAGATGTAAGAAGGGATACTAAATGCGAGAACATATGAAAAAGCAACGTCCACATTTCTGCGAAGAATGTCTACAAAATAATTTTTAGAATTGAAAAAGTTAATATTTAGAATTAACATTCCTTTTTTGTAATGTTTAAGTAATTTTAAATTTTAATTTATAAATTTATAAATTTTTAATCATACTATGTTTAATGTTACAAGTTTGAAATTAATTTGTATACCACTTTTATATTATATGTTTTAGCTTTTTAAAAAATTATGCCACAACAAATTTTTACAACTAGATTGCCATGAGAATGGAAATATCATTGGGAAGGGGGAAATGGAGAATCCCCATTAATAGGAATCACCACCATTCCAAAGGGAACTGAAACCCTAATTCCTAACAAGAAGAAAATATGTTGGTGCTAACTGTTCTTATGCAGCTCTGTGTATGTATTCAAAGGATAAGGCCTTTAATGCCTGTTTTCTAATTAACTATTTAGAATTGTAGCTTATGGTCCAGTCAATTATCAATCTATATTCTATGATTTTCATAAAGAAAGAGATTGAGTAAAGGAACAACAGCACAAAGGTCCTTGAGGAAAAGTTTGAACAAACAAGTGGAAATTAGTGTGTTCCATCCTTTTCTTCTTCTTCTATCAATCTAACACTGCTTTTATACAAAAATAAAATCACAATACTACCATTAACATAAAAACTAGTGGTGCGGAAATTTTCTCCCAACCATAGAAAGCACAGTTGTAAGGATGTAAAAGAGAAATAAGAAAGTAAAACAGAGTAAATACCTTTAATTGGTGAATTATCCCATGCAATTTCAGACATGTTTGCAACAAGTTTGAAGAGAAAAACAAGACATAATCACTTACAAGGTATAGCAGCACTAGATGACCAAGAAAATGTGATTCAAAAAGGTTTATTTGAGGGTTTCTTGCCAAATATAGCTTCCCAAACTGAAGAAGAAAGTGGTGCATTTTTATCCAGGAACTCTCTAACTGCTTTGTCATTAATGAAAAACCCTTTCTGCCTCAAAGACCCAATAACGCTTTGAGCTTCTTCAACACCCTTTTCTTTACATAACCCGTCAACCAAACCCACAAAAGTAGTGATATTAGGAGAATGACCAGCTTCCAACATTTGGAAAGTGAAATCAATAGCATCATCAAGCAAGTTACATTTATACAATCCTTGAATCAAAACACCGTAACTAAAAGCATTAGGAGTTATCCCATTATCAAGCATTTTCCTAAAAATTCTCTTGGCATCATCAGGCTTGTGAGCCTTAGAATACCCATCAACAACAGCAGTGTAGACAACAACTTCAGGAATTGTACCTTTCTCTCGCATTAATCCAAACAGTTTCATGGCTTCTTGAACAAGGCCATCTTTGCATAGCCCATCAAGCATAGCTACAGCATTTGGGATTAGCCCAGTTTCCTTCATCTTCCTGAAGATGTCATCCGCATCCGGAGGCGGCGAATTCACGTTTTCTTCTTGTTTAATATCATTACCTGAAGGAGAAGGAGGAGGAGGAGGTCTGTTTGGCAGTGGGATTTCATTATCCTTCTTCCTGTCAAGACGGAGCTTGAATTTATCAAGAAAAGCATCATCAGATTGATGCTTAACATTTCTGGGTCCTCCAGAAGAAGGAGAAGACTGAGACCGAGGATGCTGTAATGGTCTCTCACCTCTCTCGCCTCTTAAGGGTCTGTTTGGTATGGGATGAGGAGGACTCTGCACTTCTCTTCCATTATTTACTTCGTTGTTGGAATTGAAACTGGCATTGAAACCAGTTGATGGGTCTCTCATGGAGCTGAAGCGGCGCAGTATTTGTGAAAGGGAATGAGGTTTCACAGTGCTCAGCTTCAATATTCGATTTCGAGATGATGCCATTGTTTGATCGATTGATTGATCTGCTTCTGCAATTTCTAACGCGGAGGAGAGGATTTTAGGGACGTTAGGGTTTTTGGCGAAAACTGACAGTTTCTAGTTTGATAGAAGGGTAAACTGGTCATTTCAGAAAAAACCCATTAATAATACGGTAAAACGCTGGTTCTAATAGGAGAAGATAAGGCGTTTGAATTTGCTGTTAGATTACTCAAATTCAATTGCTATGGAGCTTATGGTTTTGCACATTCGCAATTAGAAAAGCGCTTTGCTGGCTCCCTTCCTTGTAGAAAGGTAAAATTTACTTTTCTTTTCTCATATGAACATTTCAGACTTAACAGTATCGCTAAGCTCTGATTTTTCTTTTGTTTTCTTCGTTTTATGGTAATTACTTAGTCGTTTTGATCTGGGTTTCTATAGAAAAGGGGAAAGATGCTTCCCCTTTTCTTGGTTTCATCAAATGTTCAGTTTTTGTTCGCTATTCAATTTCATTACCTCTCACGTATGTGTATGAATGTCCATGCTGCTAAATTGAGAAACATTTAGTTTCTCTTGTTCAAATTTCTTTCAAATGTTAGTTGGGTTATCTAATCCTTGCATTATTCATGTAATTCTGAAGTCTAACGGTTACTTGTATTATGACTTGTGTCACACTAATTGGAGTTCTAATTGTCTCTTAGTAAGATATTTTTTGTGCATGTTATAGAGGTAGTCTGAGCTTGATGTGTGTGTTTCTTCTCAGGCAAAGGCAAATATGGAACTGGCCAGCACTGCAAATGGTGGTTGTATCATGTGGTTCTTTAGGGATAGAGGTTTTGATGACAAGAGCATACGTGAAATGTTCAGAAAGTGTAAGCGACTTGAGGGCGTGCAAAGGGAAAGAGCATCTGAAAATTGGAGTTACTTGAAAAGCATTGGTATTCAAGAGAGAAAGCTCCCTTATGTTGTTTCTAAGTGTCCTAAAATTCTTACTCTTGGCCTCAATGAGAAGCTAATCCCAATGGTTGAGTGCCTTTCTACACTATCTGCAAAAAGAAGTGAAGTTGTTTCTGCCATAACCAAATTTCCTCACATACTTTCTCATAGTCTGGAAGAGAAGCTCTGTCCGCTTTTAGCATTCTTTCAGGCATTGGGTGTGCCTGAAAAGCAACTTGGCAAGATAATATTGCTAAACCCAAGGCTTATCAGTTACAGCATTGATTCCAAGCTGACAGAGATTGTGGATTTTCTCGCTAGTCTTGGCCTTGCCGGAGATGGAATGATTGGTAAAGTTCTGGTGAAACATCCTTTCATAATGGGTTATAGTGTTGAGAAAAGGCTACGACCTACTTCAGAATTTATGAAGTCAGTTGGTCTCACAGAGTTGAATCTTCAAACAGTGGTCATGAACTTCCCTGAAGTTTTGTGTAGAGATGTGGACAAAACCCTGCGACCAAATCTTGCATATTTAAAGAACCGTGGATTTGAGGATAGACAAATAGCAGCTTTGGTCACTGGTTATCCTCCTGTTCTAGTCAAGAGTATAAGAAATTCTTTGGAACCTAGGATGAACTTTTTGGTGGAGGTAATGGGGAGACAGATTGATGAAGCTGCTGAATATCCCAACTTCTTTCAGCATAGTTTTAAGAAGACATTGGAATTGCGACACAAACTTTTGAAACAGAAGAATATAGAGTGTAGTTTGAGCGAGATGCTGGAATGCAATCAAAAGAAGTTCTTAATGAAGTTCGGTTTACTTGAACAATGTTCCTGAGATTAATGTGTTCTTGCAGTTCCTTTATCTGTGAGTGAATTCAATTTTTACATTGATTCAACTCTTAATGAGAACTCAAGTTTGTTTCCTGCATCTGTTTGGAAATTTGTTCACTGTTATATGCGTAGGAGCATTCTACTTTATTGTAGCCACAATTAAAAGTAGCTTGTGTTTATTAGAGATTTTCTTTAATCCCAGAGGAATTACTTCACATGTTTCCTATAATGAAAATTTGGCGATGCTACTAATGTCAGTTGTTTGAACATATGAAACTCTTATAGTACAACTATTGGATTCAATCTTCTCCTGTGAAAAGGTACAAGTATGAGATTCAATATTATCCTGCTAAATCGTAATCTTCACCTAACTTGTCTGTGATCATTTCAGTTTCACTCATGTATGTTCAATTGCTCCAATATTAACAGCTTTTATATTCTTCACTTTTGAAGGTACTCATAATATGTTTTTGTATCGTTGTCAAATGTCTGGGTTTTTCAAATAGCTGCACTCTTATCTTGCTCAAGTATTGTTTCTGGTTACATAAAAAAAAAACAATGCTGAATAGCTACCATCTTTTATTGATGTTTAAATGAAATGGCTTTGCTTACTGCATCTTTAACCCACAGTTGTGAGATGGTCGTGTTTGGAACTTCTTTTTGTCCATTTGACCTTATATTTTGATGCAAATTCATACGGTTCATGGGGTAGAAGCTTCAACTGGTTTTGTAGATTGTCAATTCATGATTTTAGATTGTCAAATTAAACTGTAGGGTATGGTTTAGCAGTTAACCACCTAATTTATCTTCGGATGATGCGTTGTTAATGAAATCATCCTAAACATGCATACAGAATGTTTGTTTGTAATTTGTCCAGGAAGTGAAGATGAGAATTGCCTCATTGACTAAAGGTATGAGCTAGACTATTTCCATGAGATTTAATTAGATAAAAGAATTGAATTACAAATTGTTGGATATGTGCTGCATTTGGAGAAATTTGGTCCTCTGGTGGCCTGTATATCAGTTTTTCTTAACCAGTTTTTTACTTGCTAGATGATGCATTTTTAGCGAATGTGGATCTCAAGGCATGATCATTTTCTTTCGGACTGCAACTGACATTTTGGCAACAAAAACTTTTCCAGGAAATCTTGCATTAGATCATAACATGAGTACATTACAATTAGAGCACTGGGTCTGGCAGGATTGCAAGAACCTGTCAGGACTACAAGACATAAGACAGCGAATGAATGATGTACAGAAAGTGCTCATTCGTGGTCATAATACTGTTATGTATAAGATTTTTAGAAATGCAGTACAAATGGGTGTTAAAAAAAGAAAAGAAAAGACCATCGTGAAAAGGTTAGAAGAATCACAATCTACCTTCTGCAGAGACGCTTTTTATCAGCACGCAGCCCTATACTGGGAGATCAGATGAAGTCCTCTGCAAAGTGGTTAGACTTTTTGTTCTGCTACTCTTTTGAGAAGACAGTATGATGCTAGAGAGCGAGCTATCGCTGTTGCTGTTGTTATCCATTGAAGGCCACATGAACACAGGCTTAAATGGAGGTACATCAGGGGCTGGCAAAGATCCAGATATTATTTGAAGAATGACCTGTGTTTTAGGCCTTCCATTCTCATTAGGATGTGAACAAGCCAACCCCAGAAGTAAAAGCCTCTTCGCTTCATCCTCCACGAAATCATTCTTGAGTCTTTCATCAACAGCTTCTTGAATACGCCCTTCCCGGTGTAACATCCAAACCCAATCGACCAGTGAATAAAGATGCTGATTGTGGTGGATCTTGGTTCCAGGACCTTTGCCACATACAACCTCAAGAACCACTGCTCCAAAACCAAACACATCGGATTCAGGGGTAGCCCTTCCTGTATGGAAGCATTCTGGAGCAACATAACCCATGGTGCCTGCAACTCCGCCTAATTCTAGCTCAGCATACGAGTTCCTTTCATTTTCTATGGCTCTAGCAAGGCCGAAATCACCTAGCCGAGCATTGAAGTCCTTATCGAGCAGAATGTTGCTGGCTTTGAGGTCTCTGTGAACGACCTTCTGATCATATTCATTGTGCAGGTAATGTAATGCAGAAGCTACTCCTTCCAGCACCTTGCATCGACGGCTCCAATTCAATGTATCCTGCTCAGTAGCCTCATACAGATGCTTCTCCAGGCTGCCGTTTGGCATGAAATCATAAACTAAAAGAAGCTTCCGCTTCTCATAGCACCATCCTGAAAATAAATTAAATTATCCATAAAAAATGGGGGAAAAGAAAAAATAAATTTAAAACTACCCATTTTGTACAATTTCTCTCATAAAATTGAATTCTAGTTCTTTTTAAGTTATAAATTCCCTAATTTTTTTGTAACATAATAATCCATAAAGCTGTAGTTGATTTGCATAAAAATCCATTGGAAACTTTATGTTGTGAACTAGTGCTGGACTAGAGTGAAAACCCACCAATAACAAGTGAAAATTACAAATAAATCCCTTTTTTTAAGAATAATAGAAGTATCTTGCATTAATTTATAAAATTCACTAGAAAATTTGAATGTGAATAGAGAAATAATACATCTAAACATGCTCACAGTTTCAGAACTGCCGGTTCCAATTATAAAAAAAGTGAAATTAAAATCAAACTGTTTTTAAACGGTTTCTAAGACAATTTTGAAATAATTGATTTTGATTCTATTTTGATTTGGAATCGAAATTAAATAATTTATTTCAAACTTTTAAAATTTTTTTCTTTTAGATTTATAGCTTTCATAAAGAATAATAATAAATATTACTAATGAAACACATTAAACCAATTTAATAAAAATCCTTAAATTTTATTTTAAAAAATTATAATAAAAAAAATTAGGAACTTTTTTAAGAAAATTTTTTCAAATACCGATTTTAAATTAAAACCACAAGTTTCGATTTCAAAAATTAAAAATCAAAATCAAACTTTATCTAAAATCAGAAACTATTGGACACGGTTTAATGCTGTAATCTCCATGAAAATACATGTACAAATTACAAGTCAACTGCCAAAAAATTTGATTTGACTTATTCGCCTTAGAATCTTCTACGAGATGGACAATAAAACCGCAATTTGTGCAAAGTATTTTTTTTTATTATTATTATTATTTTTAGAAAGTATTATTATGTTATTTAAAGCAGATAAAAATTCAATTTGATTGTTAATTAGAATAAGTTTATAATGATTGCAATCCACCAAAAAAAAAAAATATTAAATGAAACACATAAAACGATGTCGTTCAAGTAATAATATTACAATCTATCAATTCATTCATAATTAATTAATATAGGGAAAGAATCCAATTAAGACATTCATTGATAATGAAAAATGCAAGTGGAGAGAGAATCTTTAAAATAAAACTCGGTTTGTTGACTTTTCAAGCTAACAACCCACTCACTCAACTCTCCAAAATGCTAATCCTCAGCACCAAACTTTTGACTTCAACATGTAAAAGAAATACTGTTCTACGTTACTTTCTCTGTGTCTTTCTAGCATATGCCCTCTCTATTTTTTTCATTCCATCCATACTGTCATTGTTGAAAGCTGCTTCTATATCTTAATTATTGCTTCAAACATTATTAAAACTTTTCCTTTCTTTAATATTTTTGTACCAACTTTATGGGTTTTCGTTTTTTCAAAAAAATATTTGATCCAAACAAAGGTTAAAGGAAAAACATTTACCTCCAAAAAGAAAGTTGATCATATGCTCTAATCACAAATATGCAAGAAAGGAAAACGAAAGAAAATTCAAAGCAAAAGAGAAAAATTAATGAATTTAAGGAATCAAAGTTAAAAGTAGTTACCAACTAACCGGACAAGATTCTTGTGTCGAAGGCGATGAATGATTGTAAGCTCAGCCAAGAAATCATCTTTGCCTTTGATGTTATCTCTGGAGAATTTCTTGACAGCAACTTCAATTTGATGATCAAGAACACCTCTGTATACTATTCCAAATCCACCTTCCCCTAATTTCATATTTTCATGGAAATTGTTTGTTGCCTTCTTCAATTCCCTGTACTTGAACTCTCTTGGCATCCCAGGCAGCCATTTCAGTTTCCCAAACTCATGCTTTTCAATACTGTTATTACTTTCCTCTTTCTTTACTTTTCTCCTCTTGGATCTGTAAATAACTAAAATTATTCCAATGGAAATACCAATACCAACTCCAACTCCAACCCCAACACCAATCTTTAACCCAATTTTATCATCTTCTTCATCTGAAATTCCATAAATTTGAATTTCCCACTTCAAAACGCAATTTAACTCGATCTCTGGATCTCCAGTTGAAGCAGCAAATCCGAAGTATGATTCTTGTTTCAGATACTGTTTCAGATCTATTTCCTCGCTTAAAATCGCTTCTTCAGGCTTTGGATTTCCTTCTGTAATCATATAAACCTCCATTACTTTCCTCAGGCCATCGTAATCAATCCAAACGCTGTAATTGGCGCCTGGAGGCGGCGGAGAAAGATTGATGTTGTATTCGTCGAGTGAAACCTTGGTTTTCGATTTAACGGAGTTGATATTGAGACCGATATGATCACCGATGGTTCCATCTTGATCGCTCTGCGTATCGAATTCCACGGCTACGATGTGGTTCAGAGGGTTAGAATCGGTAGAGGAATTTGTAAGGCCAAGCCATTGACCAAAGCTTGATTCAGGTAAGCCGCTATGATTTGGAGCTATAAGAAAAGCCAAGCCATGACCTGCTTCCCATTCTAATTCTCTGTAAATGTTGATAACAAAACTAGCGTTGAAAGAAGCTAAGGAAGATGATGACCAGAGCTTGAACGGTTCCGGGTACATGATCCGACCCGACTTGTTGTAGTGAGTATGAAGGAATGCTTTGTTGAGTGTTTCAGGAGTTAGTTGAAGAGCGTGGTTGTAGATCGTTGAATTTCCTTGGAACTTGAAGAAATTAATTTCCTCTATTTGAAAACTTTCATATGTGAAGTTGGCTGTGGCTGTAAGAAACTCAAGAATGAAAAGGAAGAAGATGATGAATGTTTGATTATTTTGAATAACCATTAGGATGGAAAGAGGACAGAAGAAAAAGGTTGAAGATGAAATAATTATGTGGAATGATAAAATACAAATAGGAAGTGTTTGTCACATTTCTTATTTCTAACTTTTGAAAGTTGTTGTATATATTGCTTGTTTGGGAGGATTTGTTGAATGAGTTGGTGTAACAATTCAATGGCTTTCAGTCAAGTAAGCTTTATTCTAAAAACAGGAAGAAGTCAATTAGATTCTTCGCCGTCAGAGAGTCAACAATTTCTATATATAAGTGGTTTTAAATCAATGGCTTTCAGTCAAAGTAAGGCTTTATTCTAAAAAACCAGGAAGAAGTCAATTAGATTTCTTCGCGTCAGAGAGTCAAACAATTCTAATATATATATATATATATTATATATATATATATATATATATATATATCCTCGTGCCATATATCCTCGTGCCTTAATTTGGAAGATAATTTAATTTATAATTATACCGCGGCTATTTCTAAATATTTATTACATTTGAGAGAAATAATTATATTTTAAAATATTTTCATATTTGTAGTTTTAAGAAATAATAAGTTATTTTTCATGTTTACTCTTTATACAAGAGCAATAATTATTGCTTCGGTTCCTTAAAAATTTGATGTCTAAATATATTAAATTGAGGGTAATATAATCAATTTTTTTTCAATAATTTATTGTAATTTGGATAAAATTAATGATTCTTTTAAGGAATGTGAAATTTCAAATGTGAAAAGCAGTTAAGAACGGATGTAGTAGCTATTAAATATTTAATTTTTAACATGGTATCTTATCTAATTTTATAAATTGAAATGTCTAATACATACTAAGGGTATCAAAACGGGTTGACATGTCGAGTTCAACGTGGATTAGCCTAACATGCGACACAATTAGGGTCGACATAATTAGGGTCAACACGAACACGACCCATTTAATAATTGTATTAAATTTATTAATACAAACATGACACGAAAATTAGGTAGGTGACACGAACACAACACATATAACCCACTTAATACCATAAGCAAGTTAAGTGGGTCATATTGACCATTATACTATTCTTATAACCTGCCAAAAATTATAAGCAGTTTAAATAGGTCGTGTTGACATGTATATGATCAACTTAACCTGTTTATGATATTTTTAAGTTTTAACCTATTTAACTCAAATCATATTTTAAAAATAAATTTTAATACATAAAATGTATAAATTCTTTAAGATTCATAACTAAAATAAAAAATTAGTACATCAATAAAATTTAAATAATATTTTAGTTGAAATATTTATTTCTAACACAAAAATTCTCTTTATCCTTAAATAAGTAAATCACTCATCTAATCCGCGTGTCAACCTGTAACACAACACATCAATATTCGTATCATAAATGGATAATCCGTTCATAGCACAAACTCGTTTAACTTTAACCTAACCCATTTATTTTGCGTGTTAGGCAAATCGCGTTCGCGTGTTATGACCCATTTTGATTAAATTGCATGACCAATGAATAGGCATCCAAAATTAAGCTACATTCTCATCCATTTATCCATCCAAAACTACTTAAGATTATATTTATTATTTCGGGTGACATGATCTTGGATCACAACGAGTCAATTAATAGTCCTCATAATTTAATTAGTTAATGGTTTCAAAATTAATGAATTGATACTAATTTTTGAAAATCGATAGATTACACTGAAAATGTGATTTTTGTATAGATAGCTATTTTTAGCTTTTTCTTTTGTAGATGATCCTAATTTTGTTTGTCTCATCCAAGCCATCATAGTCTGGCGTCAAACCTTACATATGCTTCCTTCGTTCTACCAAAATTGAAAAAAAAAAAAAAAAAAAAAAAAAAAGAGCAGTCAGTTCAATCGTGGAAAATTCGAATTGATATGGTAAAGTCTGTGCTATAGAGTGAAATTTAAAAGCTTTAAAATAGATAAACCAACACTCTTTTAATAAATTGTTTTTCACAGATGGGTGGTCAAGCATGAGACCAGACAATATTTAATGACCGAGTGGCATTAATTGCATCTAATATTTTTTTTTTTTTTTTTTTTAATAATTGTATGGGTGGGGTTTTTTTTTTTTTTTTTTTTAATAATTGTATGAGATATCTGGACCAGTATCTGTTTTGTAAACAGCAAATTTGATTAATTTCAGGTGGCTAGTCTGAGAAGAGTTTGCATTGTGGAGGATTGAACCCATAATCTAAGTCATAGTAATTAACCCAGTAAGTGCTATTGGCTAAATTTTACTTAAGAAAAGGCATCATACTGCTAAAGAACATTTAATTAAAATTTATTTAAAATATTTTGTAGAATAAAAACTTCAGTAGCTTATTGTTAGAAGTGGCCAAAGAAGCTTCTCTAGAACACAGGAAATGGATGGTTTAGACTTTACTGAGAGAGTGTGTGTTTAGTTGTCAATCCAAAGGAATGATTGAGATCATAAAGGAGATGAGAAAGCAAGAAATGCAAAAAAAGGTAGGTAACCCATGTTAGTGCTTTTGAATATTAAATTTGCAATCCCTTTATTACATTTCTTTACAGCTATTTATAGTGGTATTTTATAGTTGACGCCTTTAAAATAAATAAATAAATAAATAAATAAATAATGTTATAGCAGGTTAGCGAATCTGTTGGGCCCGTGATATCAATCTGTTGGGCCCAAACGGAAATTGGGCTGGGTAGTAGATACTGGAAGTTTTATATATATGTATATATATATTTTTATCGGGATCCTAGTATAATAGTATCGGTCCGGTCATAAAAACGGTTTCACATAAATCTATTGTGTAGATAAACATACAAAAGAGGAAATATGTACAAATTGAGTAAAAAGAACTATTAGTATAATTTTAAAATAAATTTTTTTTTTCTAATTTTAATAACAATGTATATAATATTTTTGGTTTTTTTTTTTCCGATTTAGATTGGATCCATCATTAATATAAAATAATTTCCAATTATGTAGTATCTTATTTTTTTCCTATTTCGGCAAAATTGATTTCTGTGTTAATAATGAGCACAAAAGCTAATTTCTTGGGCAGAAATAGAGGAAGTGATACGCAGACACTACTATTTGAGAAACAACATATAAATATGGAAGTCTAATACTAATTTTTTGACTTTTTTAAAAAAAAAAAAAAAAAAAAAACTGGAAGTCTAATACTAATTTACTTTTTTTAAAAAAAAAAAAAAAAAAAAAGGAAAATATAATATTTAAAAAAAAAAAAAAAAAAAAAGAAAATATATATATTCCAATAATTGTTCTCTCGCTTCTTGTTTATGTACAATCTGTTATTCTGAAACAAAGAAAAGAAAAGAAAGAAAAAATGGGTTACACTCGTCGTTTAAGGGTGTTCTTGGGGCATAGTCAATTCGGTTTTGATCTAGAAACGACAATATGCAATCATGGTTTTTTTATGATGGCTCCAAACAAATGGATTTCTGAAACTAAAACCTTACAACGCCCTTTAAGGCTTGCAAACGGCATCGATTCTCTTGTCGTTTCCATCTCACACACTCCTGAAAACCCTCATGTTGACGTTCATGTTCATGATGTTGAAATCCTTACTGAAGACGATGAAGAAGCTATACAGGTATATATTTTATATTTATATTATTGATAGCTTCTTTATTATTAATTATTAATCGTTAATAATTTCCATTGGTAGAAACAAGTGTATAGAATGCTAAGAGTAGATGAGTTTTCGAAATTATTCCATGAAAAGCATGAAGAAGCGAAGGAGAAAAGGTTTTGTAAGCTCTTTCGATCAGCTTCTCTTTTTGAAGATGCTGTCAAGTCTATTCTACTATGTAACACCATGTAAGCTTCTTTTTTCTTTATAGTTCTTTTTTTAATTCATTAGATGGCCCAATGGGTTGAAATAAGAATATGCACTCGTATATATGCACTCGTATATATATATATATATATATATTAATATTATATATATATATATATTATATATATATATACCTATATTATAATTTAAATTATACTACGTAGTATATTATATATATAGTATTCCGGTATATATATATATAGATGGTGAGCAGGTCAACTAGTCGTTATGGCAGAAGCTCTTTGCCGAGATTCAACCAGAACTTGCTGAAATGATAAGAAGAGTAGAAAAAGAGCATTTAAGAAATAGAAGTCAAAATATGTCGTTGGCAAAAATATATAGATGGAGCAGGTCACTAGCTATGGCAGAAGCTCTTTGCGAGATTCAACCAGAACTTGCTGAAATGAGAAGAAGAGGTAGAAAAAGAGCAAAAATAGAAGCAAATAATGTCGTGGCAAATTTCCCAAGTGCAAGAGAACTGGCAAAGGTGGATGAAGAGTTTCTGAAGAAGAGATGCAATGTTGGACACAGAGCTAAAACAATTATTAGTCTTGTTAATGCTATTGAGAGTGAGAGACTAAAGCTTGATGATTTTGAGAATGCATTGCTTTCAAATTCGTACGAGCAAATCAGATCAGAAATACTGAAGATCAAAGGCATTGGTCCATTTACCTGTGCCAATATATTAATGTGCATTGGCCACTACATTGACATTCCTATTGATTCTGAAACTATCCGCCTTGTAAAAAAGGTATTCAAATGTCTACCTTAATTTCCATGATAGCATTGTTTATTTATTAATTTCTAATTAATACCCCTGAATTTTGGCAAAAAAAAAAAAAGATCCATGGCAGGGAAAATTGCAGCAGAAGCACCATAGCTAAGGATGTGAAAGAAATATATGGTGGGTATGAACCATACCAGTGCTTGGCATACTGGTAAGTGAAATTAATTAGTTTTTTTTTTTTTTTTGAAATGTTATATATATATATATAGTAATTAGTTATTGATTGTAGGTTTGACCTTGTTAAAGACTATGAAAGTAGATATGGGAAGCTAAGTGAGTTGTCACCTTCAAGCTACCATTTTGTCAGCGGACACATTGATCCAAAGCCACCGGCACCGGCGGATAAACAAGTCTAAGTTTCATCTTCTGATAGGAATTGGATGTTTAGGTGCTTGTGGGTTTTTTTTAACCCCTAAGTTCTTCTTTTTGATAATTGGATTTTTTTTTTTCTTTTTCTTTTTTCTAAAGTAACACCTTACTTACCTAAGGTTATTATAATGCATTCAGTAATAAATAAATTTTTGTTTTGCGGAGTACCATGATATATATGTCCAATACTTTTTTTGGTTTTTTTATCCTAATGTATATGCGAAAATGTATTAGTTTATCTTTTTTTTTTTTTTTAAAGTAATTCGCTAGAGCTCTTTACCGTTCTTGGATAATCCGGTGCAAATAGGATTTAGTTCTAGCTCAGTCGGTTCGAGATACCTATGGTTTAGACAAAAAAAAAAAAATTACATTTTATTATTTGATTGAATATAATTTCTAAAAATTATTTTGTAAATAAATACATATAGATAATAAAAAAGAAAAAATATACTTTTTTTGTTTTTGCATGGTTGTAGAAAAGTTGAGGATTTATTTGGCGAGGATAAAACGTTTTTTTTATGTAATTTTTTTTATTAATTAATTAACTTATTTATTTATTTTAACTTTGCAACTTAAAAAAATAGAGAAACAAAATTAGATCCTAGTATTATTTGCTTTGTAATTTTCATTTATTGACATGGTTATAAACTTTTTTTTTATGTCTATCAACATCAATTTCATTAAATTACAACATTTCTAGTTAAAGAAGAGTTGATTTTTGAAATTCAAATTGGTAATTTTTTTAATATAATTTATTTCTTGTTATATGTTATGTTCTGAAAACAGTTCTATTTTCAATAACAATTTTTCTATTTTTTTATTTTTTTCGTTACTGAATTAATTTGTAACTACTATCGCTTTAATTTTATCTCTATTGCAATAAATAGATGATTTCTTGATGATTAAATATTTTTAATATTCTTAATATTTTTTTTCTATCGTATTCTAAATTTATTTGACATGAAAGAAAATATTGTTTATAAAACTGAAAAAAAAAAATTACAACTATATATTTCTGTTTTGAGTTACTTTTTAAGGTTTTAAAGATTTGTATTTATTTACATAAATTTCTTTCTCTAATACACTGGATAAGTACTACTATTACTATAAAGTATTACTATTATCAATTCAGACCATATGTTTATTTCTTTTCTTTACCAAACAGTAAAAAATAATTTATTATTATTTTTCATTATAGTTGTATATAAATATTGATTTGAAGTTGAGAGCAGGAAGTTAGAGATCGAATGATAATTTGAATTTCTTTTTGAGCACTTATTAAAGTTTTAAGAATATGCATTTATAAATTAGGGACCGAAGGATTAGGTTCAGAGATTGTATTGAATTTTATTTTAAAACTACTTCGTTACAAATAAAATAGAATTAAGTACATAAAAAGTAATATTACAAGTAGATTGTACGACAAAATTCAATACAAATTAAGCAACTGTATTTATTTTAATCTAAATAAAAACTCATGGTTTAATATTATACAAATAAAAAAAATTAAAAGGGTATAAATATATAATGAGCACAGTCGACATACAAGATATATCAATAAAATAATTTTAGCATTTTGTGAACAAAACCATTTACTTTTCAAAAATTTCTTAACTGAAAAAAAAAAAAAAATTGGAATAACACATTTTCTGAATGAATGAATAAACTATTCTGTTAATGGAAGCATATTGAAAGTTTTTGAATTCATTTTTTTTAAAAAAGAATTAGGAAGAACCTATTTGTTAATTATCGCTCTGTATGTTTTCAAAAAATAATTTATTTTTTAAAAATATTTTTCAAATAAGTCATTTTCTATTATTTAATTGTAATATTCTAAATTAATTACTATAGAGACACATTGGAATATTTATTCAATAAATAAATATTTATATAATTAAACATTGGTTGCAATTAGTTGTAATAAGTAACAAATTTCAATATTGAATATTAGTTTAAAAAAATTAAGATTTTTAACGTATAAGACTATTAAAATGTTTATTACCATAGAAATTTTATATTTTAAATAAATCATTAAATGTGATAAAATAATGCATAAAAAATTGATAAATTGTGATTCCCGCTATCGTTAATGGTGGTAACCAGTAAATGGCTTCGAGTAATTAATAAATAAAGAAATATATATTTATAAAATTATAATAAATATATTAATGTTGGAAAAATGTTTTCCTCTCTTAAAAATAAAACTCATTTTCTTCAGCACCTCAAATATTAGAAAATCTGGAAATATTTTTCAAACGTTATTTTTCCATTTGCAAAACAAATGGAGCCTGAATTAAATTTTGGGAACTTCAGTAATATCAGCACAAAATGTACAATGGAACAAATATGTAAAAGCTTGATGCGGTACAATGACAATTAGTCCTACTCTGATAGGTACAGCTAAAGGATAAGGATATTTACTGAACAGAGAAAAATGCTACGCAGAAACTGACAACAGAATATATCAGGAAGCTTCAAGCTTTTTCCACAAATATAAAACCCTTCTAATTATCGGATCTGCTGAAAATCCTTCTGCATAAGCACTAATAGCAGTCAAAAGGCTTGTAAATTTCTCACCGTTGTCCTGCATTAATTCAACATCAAAACGTTAAAATACATTGCATTCATAGCACTTGCAGATAGATTCACTACCATACATCATGGAATTGAAGACACATAAGTGGAAAAATTGGTAGCAGAAAAGGATTTTTGAGCTACGAATATAAGCTATGAAGGTAACATTTGAACAAAGTAGAATCCACCTCAACTACTCTTTCGTACCCTTTTGTTAGGAGGTGTTACTAGTAGGGGGTGAGCATTCAGTTCAACTGAACCAAATCACCTCTAACCGAAAAAACTCAACTTCACAAGAATCAGAAATCAAACAAAATAGAACATTTTGATTTTATTGATAGAAAACTGAAACTTTTTATCTTGCTGAAGTAACCAATTTAACTGGAAAACCAAACCGAAGCAACCAGAAATAGCATCAGTTTGGTTTTCCATTTTGAACTTGAATTTGCATACTTTCAGATAGAAGTCAGTTAATTTGGTCCATTCATTTTTCTTCACAAAAACCGTACCAAACCAACTTTGCTGGACAGCTCAACTGAACTGACAAAATACTGTCAGTTTGGCTATTCAGTTTTAACCAAATATTCCTCTCCCTTTGTTACTAGCAAGACTGCAAATGAAAGATGCATGGCCTTCAAAAAAGTAAATGGTAAATTTACTTTTAAGAAACAAAAAATTGTAAATTAAGCCGGGAATGCTCTATTATGTTCCTCAGATGAGAGGATCAAATTAATGAATTATGCTGAGGTGCAAATCATGAAACTACTGGTGGGCTTAGATCACCTGTGATCTTATAAAGAGATGGCCATAGAATTATAAGAGATGCATTAACATGGAAAACTAAGAGTCAATAGGAGAACTCGTAATCATTCTTCACTAGAGTGCCTACGAAACCAGAGGAGATTTGGAAGACAGATTACTTCAGCTATTTTCTACTAATTGTTTTTCTTAGGGCCATCAAGGAAACTGCAAGTGTTCAAGTGACATGCTTTGTAGTCTTTCATGTAGCAGTGCTGCCAGTGCTCATCATAAACGAAGTAATTGCATATAGTATAGCTGAATGAGGATTAAAAACTTTGCATACAAGAATAATTATGATTACACAAACCTCAGGCTTTCTAAATGCGAGATCTCCAGTGGAAAATGGGACCATATAGTCTGGAAGATCCGAACGTAGCAGCGCCTGCCATAAGAAAAAATATCAAATTTATAACACAGTCCATAAGCTTTGCACTTTAGCAACACATTAGAATGAATAGGCAACAACGGCGAAGGGATGGCCATGATTAGCAGCTTGAGAAATTAGCCAGGCGTGGTTAAGAGCATTCCTCATTGGGCCAGCCCAAGGCCCACCATGCACTAGTAAACAAATATTCTAATTTACATTTGTTATATATGCTTCATATTAACATGAAGGGTAGACTATCAAAACCCCTCTTTTTCAATCATTTCTATACAATACGCATTAGGCAAAGCAAAGAATCTATAATGCTTCTTAACGATAACATTGTGATAGAATAAGCCAACACAACCAATAGAATGCATATGTAATAATATTAGAAAGCAAATCTAATGTAAAAGTAGGATTCGTATCATTTTCCATCTCAATTAACTTCATGCTTGATCTCATGTTTAATACCTCACATCAAAAAACATTGTCTCATTTGTAGTCTAGCAAATCACATTGTTCAAAGTTTTGTTATGTTTTATTTCATTATTTTTAGCGTACATCTTTTTGGAGGGAAAGATTATACCATTTGATGTTTAATCATTATTTATTCATACATGTATATAATTTCATGTAAAGACTAAAACTAAAACTTTATTTTAATTAAAAAAATATTTTTCATTATTTTACTTTATCTATGATGATTTGCTTAATGAAATATTTTTTTGCAAATACTTAAAATTGAATTGCTCAGTCAAAAATATGTTTTTAAGTATTAATAAAATATAAAAGTTTAAATTTTGTTAAGAAACAAGAAAGACTAAAATAAAAGATACAACTGTGTATGAATTTGGAAATATAAAACACATCTTATCTATATAAAAAGAGTTAGAGTTGACTATTCTATATGATAAATTTAAATGAAATAATTCACGGATAATTTAATAAACAAATATATGAAAAGGTTGACCTATTACTTGGGTAATAGTGATTGTAATGAAAAATAATTCCATTAAACTCACCAATAATAAAACAAATAATTCTATTAAATTCACTAATCATGAAAAATACTTCTTTATCGTGTAACTATATATTCCATAAGATAATAATTTCTCAAAGAATTAACAAAATTTAATGTGACAACAATCAAAAGTACACAAGAAATATTTCCGCATACAGATTACAAATTTTTAGGATTTGCATATGATTTAGACGAATAAACTGTGTTCTTTAGTTATTTTTTTTATTTTGATGTAAGGTTCATAATATCACACATTGTGATTCTATTGATGAAGCATGTATACTATTATAATGTTATTGTTGAAGACTTGAGATTTTTCTAGACGCTCCTAAGTTAAGGGATATTTTTGTAATTGTAGCTAAATTTAAGGAAAATTAATGGTTGTACTAAAAATTGAGGAAAGTCCTTTGTTATAGACGTTAAAGGGTAAATTGTGTTATGTATGACTTTCCTTAAATCATGTAAATTGTCTTTTGTATATAAATGGAAAATTGCAGATAAAAAAGACCAAGTTATGAAAGGCCTAACATGCAAAAATACTCTCAACTTTGCAAGTTGTTGCAATTGCAACGATCCATACACCAAAATGAAAGTTAGAGGGTATTTACATGCCAAATCTCAATTAGGGTTAGTGTTTGTATTTAAAATTATTTTTCGTGTGAGCCACAACTAAGTTTTGGTTAACTGACCCATGCTTAGTTAATTTACCAAACTGGCAGCATTTCACTAAGAAAAAAAAATATCCCTAATGTTATTCTCCATCCTCTCTCTCTCAACTCTGGGTTGAGAAAGGATAAAATTAGGACTTTTTGTCTTAGTGAAATGCTACCCATTTTGGTAAATTAATTGAGACTGGGGTTTAATTTAATCTAAGCTTAGCTGTTGGTTCCAGAAAATTAATTTTTAATGTAAACCCTAACCCTAATTGGGGTTTAGAGTATGAATACTAGCTAACTTTTGTTTTGGGGTATGGATGTCAAAGAGTTCAAATAAGGGTGTAATTGTAACAACTCGTGAAGTTGAGGATATTTCTATGCATTAAGCCGAAATGAAGGGAAGTTATGTTCTAATTTTTTTTCTATCTATTTTCACTGATTCTAAATAGACAAATGATATGAGAGCGTTTTTTTTCTTCAGGGATTTGTGAGGGAAAGGAATTTGTTGTGTGTTTGAATGATAAACACTAAGGGGAAAAAGAGGCTTCTAGCAATTTCTTGGTGTAGGTCTCCTGTATCTACAAGGGATAATTAGCACATTTGGATAATTAAAATTAAAGCTCACAAGGCGTTGAATCTATGGGAAACAGCGGATATTGGGTAGATCCTACACCCTTAGGCCCTAATCCCACAATGGCACAGATAAAAAACTGAGGTGCAAAAAGCCAAGAAATCTAGGGCACTGACTTGTATTAATTCAGCTCTCAAAGAAGTGATCTTCCCCTAGAACGATGGCAAGTGATTCACCTAAGGAAGCCTGAAAAACTAGGGAATGAGTTTGAAGGAAGTGATAAACTTTTGACACTGATCACACTGCTTTATCCAATTAATGAAATCGTGCCAAGTATGGCAATACACGAGTGGCTGTAGAAGCTTCGTTACTCATAGGTTTCATCAACACAGCAAGGCACCCAGCATGCTAGAGAGGCTTCTGGCACGCCCTAGAACCTTACAGTCCTTTGCCTACAGAGTTCCACTGACCTTTGACTCACTCTTCTGCTACTATGTAAATACCTTAACATCTCTAGAAGAATCTACCGACCTAGACTTAAATTTTTCTAGTGGAAGCAATTGTTGAACGTTGAATGTAATTAATCCTAGCTTCGGAGGCCCTAGGCAAGCCTCCCCATTTGTAAAGCTTGCTTGTACTCTTACACTTTAAAGGCAATGTAGCAAATTGTTTGCTCTAAATTCTCTCTTCATTGCTCCTTGCTATTCTCTAAACCTCTCACAAGACTTACTTAGCCATCCTTGAAGGCTTAGATCATCTAAATGCCACACAGGTAGTCTACTAAAGTACTCATCCCGTGACAATTAGTTACCCTATGAATAAGTTACACTATTAACTATAGCTAGGTTAACGTGGTGAAACTTGAATACAACCTTTTATACCTTGGTTGATCTTTAAAATAGTTAAGATTGATTTATTTAATTAAGTTTTCATTTCCAAAATTGATTTATTTAATTAAGTTTTCGGTTTTAACCTTAATTTTCTTAATTCAAAGTTAATCACTTGTCTAGATAACATATAATTGCTAGGAACGATCCTCGTGGGAACAATAACTTTATACAACATGTGACAGCTGTGCACTTGAGGATTTTATATAACAGATGTGTGTGTCTGACAGAGAGAGTTTATATATATCACTCTTCAAGAAGGATGAAAATAAGAATCCAAAAGAAAAAAAGAATACAACAACAAAATGAAAAGATAAGTGAAAAATTACCAACTTCTTGCTTAAGAGAGCTTGTTCAGCATTTGCTTGCAAGGCCTACAAAAGGACAGCACAGGTTAGCAGAAAAACAAAAACGAGTTCAGTTTGCATTCGCAATCAGCATGTAATTTTATCACACATGAAGCTAACAGTAAGTTTTTCTCCCTCATTTGAATAGAGGTCTCCAGATACCTGGAAGGAAACAATACAATGGATTACTATTTTCTTAGTCACCTCACTTTTTCCTTGCGCCTTCAAACTTCACTCATATTCTTTTTTTTTCCCCCACCATTCTCAAACAGAGGGTAAAGGTGAAAAAAATAAAAAAAGATATAGAGCGAGTTTGCAGACCAATTTGCACTGCTATGCACAAACTCCCGAAACAAAAGTGAAACTTATCCGTGAAACTGCTCTCCTCTTGCTTTTCAACTAAGCTGCATTTTTGTTATTGGAGTTCATGCCTAGAAGCAAAACAAGTCTGCAAAACTGGTTTACAATTCAAAGTACTTTATACTATTTTTATACCATCAAAAGCAAACAACTCAAATAAAGACAAGACAAAGTTTTAGCAAGCATTTGACTTATATTATGCTGTAACTAGACATTCTACCTCTTTGATGCGTTCCCCTTCTACTTGATCAACACATTGCAATAAATTCTCTAATGTGCCTGCCGAAAGAAATGACAATTAAAACAAGTTACTCTATTAAAATGCCATGCATGCAAATTACAAGAAAATTCTTTTACATGTAAAAATTCCTATTCTTGCTGATTCCATTGTATGCAGTGCAAGAACATATTCATCTTGTTACACATTTTCAAAAGCATGTGTAAGACATGATGCAAGAACATATTCATCTTGTTTTTCAAAAGCATGTGTAAGGCATGATACAAGAACATACCAAATCTAGTGATCAGTTGCACAGCATTGACACTTCCAATTCCATCAACTCCTGCAGTTATTAAAAACGTGATTTATTGATCACTTATACTTCAAGTTTAATTGAACATTCCTAAAGTGAGGAGAAAGAAAAAAAAAATGCTTAATGAAGGATCACAAGAATTATTTTGATAAAACAATTCATTATTCTAGACTTTTTCAGGAGATGAATGGTAAAAGGAGAGAGTTCATAAAAGAGTTGAGTGTTTTAGGAATTCTAGGAATTTGGAATAAACATTTTTAGCATTTTGTGGCAGATTTCTCTCACAGTGGTTTACATGATTTAGAACGGAAGAAGCAAAGAAGTAATATTTTGCAACATTTCTGGAGATTTCAGCATACAGCTGGAAAGAATGCCCATATTTTTAAAAGTGGGAACTTGCTAAACAGCCTAAACTGTAATCACATAACAAACATTTTTTGCTTGGTCATAATAATTAGCATTAACATGATTGAATAGCTTTATAATCTTAAATTTTTAGTAAATTTAGGTTTTAGCACAAGGCCTATACATTAGATTTTTGTCATAACTATCCATTTCAATTAGCTTTTTGTTCAAAATTACTCATTTCCATCACTTCTTTACAAACTCTTTTTTATAGGGAAAGCACAGTTGCATATTTCTTTTGAGAAACTCACACATCTCACTTTCCTGTCTTTCAGAAACAGCAGCAACCCTAAGATACTCTTTTAATAGAAATGATAATACAATAAAATAACCAGAAGTAATGACCTTCAATCATACTGAAAAACACGCTAAAAGACCCAGTAAATAAAAAACACACTCAAAGATACTCCTTTGGAGGCCCCTAAAAAAATAAAAAATAAAAAATAAAAGGGTAAGAAAACCACCTTATCCCACAACAAATTAAAAGACGAAACTTCACTTTCTAAAACTTTGAGAACCGTCTACTTTGAAATACCCCAAGCTACCACATAAAATACAGGTTGCTTAATTACTTTAGCCCCCTTTCTACAACCACCTACAAAAGTCTCCAAAGTCTAAAGTCAGCCTAGCTCTACCCAAATCATGAAGATACTTGTTCTCTTTTTCAGGTGTGGAATGGGCACAAACCAGTAATTAAATTATCTAAAATATGAGTGCATTAGTTGAGGATCTATCTTGTACTAGCATGCTTATGTTAAAAATGATGTTACTGCTGGTCATAATCATGTATTTTTTATATGCTCTATATAAAAAGTTTCAAGAGATTAAAAAGTAAAAATTCCACTACCAGCATCAGGTAGAAAACAAGAGCAAATACAAAACCAACACTCACATAGACACTAATGGTTAAAATGCTAATTCAATTCAATGGAAAATGACGGTAATACTATTTATTTAATTATTGATAAGGACGCAATAAATGACCTGGAATATTATCGGATCTGTCACCCATGAGAGCCATGACATCAGCAAACTGAGAAGGTTTCAGTGCTCCATATAATTTTGCAAAATCTTCAATCCCAAATGAAACCATCCTGGCAATCAAAATGATAAATATCACGCCTTATAATATACTAGCAAAACAAACATGTAAGAAACCCAACTAAAAGAAAAAATTGTGTTATATGTGTATGTGTACATATATATATATAGATATATATATTGTAGGTAGCACAAAGCACAACTAAAGCATGCCAAACACAATAACTAAACAATTGCAACCCTTCTAAATACTTTATTCTTTCTTATTCTGATAGGATAAATTTCTTGTGTTTTTGTAACCCATTAAATTAAGGTAAGACCAAGTTTGGCACCTACATTAAGTCATTTATTACTGAACCTTTTACCAATTCCATTTGATTTTGTTGAATTCTATTTAACCATGCAAACACCACGACAGCTAAAAGCAGATAGTGCCCGGTATCTATTTAATAGGAGATACAATATTTAAATGAAACATTCTATACCTACTTTCATTAAATTAAAGAAAATAAAAAGAATTTAAGCAAATCCATAGTCTTTGGGCCTTCGGGGCCCTAGAGGGTTCTGTGAGGCACTCTGGCATTCTACATTGTTATGGAGAAGCCTGAAGAAATGTAGACCATGCGTATGGGAGGCATTGGCACATGGGAGAAGCTTCTAGATAGGCCTAAAGGGCGCTGGAGGGCACTAGGGTGCTAGGCAGTATCCGGACAAGACAGGTTTAGCAAGATCTGGGCCAACCTAGAGAAGTCTAGAGACTTCCACCGACTTTTAGCAACTAGACATGCCTAGAAGTCTCTAGGGAATGCGAGGCACCAACTTTGCTGGGCACCAAGGCGGTTGGACATATATAGTTACTATATATATATAATATATATATTATAGCAATTAGTGCAAACTTATATCTCACCCATCACTCCCTTCAACTATAAAGCTATACTTCAAACTAAGCCTTGTAACTTTGTACACATTATTTTTAGAGTGTAACAAAGGTTTTAGAGGGTTTACTTTGAATTGTCATAGGCTTAAAGGTTTATGCTCACTGCTCTTAGCAATTACCTGTGTGGCACTAGCACTTGCTCGCTGTGGGGGCTAGTCAGCCTGGCTCAGCACAAATACAGGTCAGGTCACACTGCCTCCTAGCATAGGAGGTTAAGTTGTGGCTAGATGAATAGAACTTCTATTTATAGTGTAAAATGTACACAAAGTTACAAAACTTGGTTTAAAGAATTGCTTTACAAATGAGCGGTGTGATGGCAAAGATATAGCAGTGTTTCCTTATATATAACAATGCTAGGATGTGCAATTAAAAATATTAAGACTTCAGGGCCTAAAATGTGGTCTAATTTAAAGTGTTAGAGACTAATGTATAATGAGAATTTGTAGTTTACTAATTAAGGATTACAATGCATAGATGCAATCAAAACTTAGAGACCAGATGCAAGGGTCAAAATTACTTGTATCCTTAAACAACATGAATTATATAACATTAAGATTGAAAAAAGAAAATGCAAAAATTGATTTGAAAAGTTAATGAGGTTCTAAAAAACATTAAAATTTCTAAATCAGAAACCTAAGATGCATAAAATTATTGAGACAACTAATGTAGGGTTGTAAATTGAAGGGATACTTACTCAAGGCCACGTGGTGCAATTCGTAGAAGACGTAATGAAGGAGATAGAATCTGGAAAAAGTCTTTGTCCGGAGAAACAACTCGTACCTGTTACAAACATAATTGTAACAGATTATAAACGCCAAGTATTATCCTTAATCTATATATAGGCGGTAGAAGTCAAGAAACATTCAGAGCATAGAATAAATAAGGTGAAAGGTAACCTAATACTAATATTAACGTCCATGGGCCTAGACAACATGGCTTATAAGTGAACAAGTGATGGAACCCAACTTGCACAAATCCAATTGGATTGTGCTAGGTCCACCACTAATTCCATTATAATCCTTGATTTACTTATTATTCTTCAATGTGGGATCCATCTCCCAACACACCCCCTCAAGTGCAGCAAAGTTGGCCTTAATATGGCCCAACATCAATAGGCCGGTTGACACTAACTATCATATAAGTTGGCTCGCATATCTCCATCACTTGAGTCCTACAGGATTTCAACATGAGTCCCAATGTCCAACCCCTTTAGTCATGAGGCTTTGATACCATTTTAAAGTCCATAAGTCTAAACAACATAAGCATTATAAGTGAATGAGTATTGGACCCATCTTGCACAAAACAAATTGACTTGTGGTAGGTCCTCCACTCATTCCATTATAAATCCTTTATTTATTTTATTGTTATATGATGTGGGATTCATCTCCCAACAACTAATAGAAGACAAAATTTAATAGCAATTGCACAATGCACCAGCTATTTCATAAATAATTACATGTTTCCAGGAAAGAATTTTTTTTATATAATTTTTCTCAAGTGAGAAGAGAAGCCAGCGAACAATAATAAATTTTTTGTGAATAAGTGAAAAAGGAAGATTTTGTTCATTGAAATGAGGGACAGTTTTCTTCATATTTCAAGATGTTCATCAATACCTCCCAAATACAATTTAGCACAATTACCTTGAACCCAGAATCCACACTCCTCAATGCCAATGTTCCAATCACATCATCTGCTTCTACACCTGGTACCTGTGTTGTATAAATCATTATCAATTATTGTGTACAGCCAGAGCTAGGAAATTCAGCCAGAGCCAGCAAATTAAACAAATCTGCAATGTACAGCTTATTACCTCAATCACCTTAATAGACATGGCTTTAATTGATGCTTTCAAATATTGAAGCCCCTGAACTATGGTATCAGGTGTAGGGGGCCGGTTGCTCTTGTATGAAGAATACATATTGTGACGAAAATTCGAACCTTCAGAAGAATTAAAAAGAAAAAGAAAAATGAATAAATAGATATATACATATGTGTGTGTAATAAGGCAAGCTGATACTGAATCAAATTGAACCCACTAAATATATTTCCTATGAACTAAAAGGTGAAAAATAAATAATTGAAAATCTTAATACACATCTTCCATGAATAATTAACTCAAACAGAAATATAAGCACTACAATCAGAAAATTAAAGCAATAGAAACAAAATACCTCAAAACTGCAAACAACAACAACAAAAAATAAATAAAAGATTTCATGAGAGGAACAGAGCCGCATGTCAGAAAGGAACAGTGAAAACCTTGCCCCATGCAGCGGAATAGAAACTTTATTGAATTTAATTCAAGTCGATGTATTTTGCCAATAACACAACGAGACAAACTTTAGGATCAAAACTAACTATAAGCAATTGAACTTTGTCTAGTCATACAGAATCTTCATACAATCAATTTAAAAAGATTTGGACACACTTTGGGTCCAGGTGCAAGTGCTAGACAAGGTGGCAGCCCAGCTATGGGCATTTTAGACTACACAAATGAGACTAATCTCAAAATTAAAAACCAGGGAACACAATACAGTCATTTGATTACTAGAAGCACCAGAAAATCATTTTCCATGTCTATTAAAGCATGATTTCAAATGTCATGCAAATCAAGTACACATTTCAAATGTCATTCAATCAAGTCCACATTTCAAATGTCATTCAAATAAAGTCCAAAATGTTCATTAATAGGAAACAAATTATAAATCTGTATGACTACCCCTGAATAAATCAACATCAACATCAACATTTTATTGTAAAGCTGTAGCATATTCATTCACAGCTTTATTTTTAAATTCCTTGATATAAATTCAGTAGCTGATCCAACTAAATCTCGCAAGGATGAAAATGAAGCACTCACCAAAGTAATTCAATTATAAATAAACTGTATCTCACATCTACTAAAATTACTGCACAAAATAAAGCACCGATTGGTAGGAGGTTTGATCCAGCAGGGGGTAAAGTTGATGTCGAGACTTAAATCTACTAAAGCCCCAAAGTTTAAGAATTTAAAGTAGCCGTACTTTATAGATTTCTTTTTTTTTTTTTTGGGGAATCCGTATTCATAGCTTTTGATTCAAAAATAATCTAGAATCTAAAAGTCAAGAAATCAGGAGAACAAGAAGCACCTAGCCAAATAAATGCAACAAATAACTATTTGAGGATTAGGGATAAAGTATGATGAAGAACAGAATTAAATCTCACATTACGCGAACTGATGGTTCAACAAGAAACTAATCTATATAATATATGAAAGTAGAACAATTTACATCATATGGAAGCCAAGTGTAAGCCTCTAAAATTGCCACGTATGAGCAGGAACAGTAGGGACCAACAAGTTTGATTAATTATTAAAAATTAAAAAACCAAAAATGGGAACCGTAGGAACCAACAATTAAATTTTGACCAAAAATTAATTATCACAAAAATTTTCTACAAATCAATCAAACTAGATCTTTAGGTTTTCTGCCAATAGGGACCAACAGTAATAAATACTTACAACATTTTTTTTTATATTTTTAATTTTTTTATATTTTAACATTTCCCAATCAATTGTATTTTAACATTTTCTCTCTCAATTAGACCAACAGTAATATATATTAATTTCTTATTTCAATGACACAAAAACAAATTTTAAAAAAAAAAAACCATTTCATTTTTTATTGGTAATAAGAAAAAATTTCAGTTGATTAGCTTAGTGTATGGAGTAATCTCATATACCAAGAGTTAGGTTGCACGGACACGGCACAAGATACGAGAATATACGAAATACAATAATTTTTAAAAAAGGTAGAACATCCACACGCTTAGGACACATTACTAAATAAGTAATACATTAATATTTTAAATAAATAAACAATCATTTAATAATAAATCATAAACATATGATAAAAAAAATAATTAATTTCTTATTTCAATGACACAAATACAAATTTTAAAAAAAAACTTTATTTTTATTGGTAATAAAAAAAAAAATCTTGGTTGATTAGCTTGGTGTATGAAGTAGTCTCATATACCAAGAGCTAGGTTGCTAATAAAAAAAAATCTTGGTTGATTACTTGGTGTTATGAAGTAGTTCTCATATATCCCAGAGCTAGGTTGCAGTGACAAGCGGGCCAGCGAGATACGCAAACGTACGAGATATCGATAATATTTTTAAAAAAGTAGGACATCCACACGCTTAGGTAAACCATTATTTAAATACGTAATACATAAATATTTCAAATAAATAAACAATTATTTATTAATACATCATGAACATAAAAAATACTTAATTTCTTATTTCAATGACATAAAAACAAATTAAAAAAAAAAAAAAACACTTCATTTTTTATTAGTAATAAGAAAAAACCTTATTTGATTAGATTGGTTTATGGAGTAGTCTCATATACCAAGAGCTAAGTTACACGCATACGGGACACAAGATAAGGGAATATACGGGATAAAATAATTTTTAAAAAAGGTAAAACATCCATTCGCTTAGGACACACTACACTAAATAAGTAATATATTAGTAATATATTAATATTTCAAAAAAATAAACAATTATTTATAATAAATCATAAATATAAAATAAAAAAATACTTAATTTCTCATTTGAATGACATAATATTGCTCCGCGCATCGTGCGGATTCTAACACTAGTTTAGGATATAAAAGAAAGAAAGAAGAGAAGACATTTGGTGTCCAAAAACAACAATTTAAGCCATAGATTTGCAACGAAACTCGGTGAAAAATTGAGATAATGACTTTATACTTTTATCCAGCAGCATTATTAAATGATGCAAATTCTAAAATGAGAAGAGCAGAGCTACAATATATAGTGTCATAGGTGTGGTTTTTAGAGAACATGCGAGAAATAGAGAGGATGTATCATACATAAAATATTCCGACACAATCTGGAGACCTTACAGAAACCTTAAACCATTTTACTTGCAGATGTTGTACCTTGTATTCTTGCAGATTATTAACTCTATCATGTGAAAGATTCAGACAATTATGAAAAAACATACCTTTTGCCATGACATTTTCTTTGGATGAAACACATGTATGACCAAATGGAAATCCTGAAAAGGAAAACTTTCTTCTATCAAAATTTTTGCTTGAAAAAGTTGTTCCACATTCAAATTAACCCCATGAACCACCCAAATCCTTTACCCTTTATGAAAAAGAAAATGCATTTTCAAAATCAATAAGCATATAAATAATGAAGTTCATTATTTACGAAAGAAAATTATGTAAATTTGTACCGCAATGGATCATAAAAAAGGTTCATAAGATTTCTTCTCTAACAAGAAAAATAATATGAAACAGAAAATTTTCTCCAATAATATCACGAATAAAATGTGTTCAGTAGTCTCTCTCTCTCTCACTCTCTCTCTCTCTCTCTCTCCTCTTCTCTCTCTTCCTCTGCTCTATAAGTATATATATATATATATATATATATTATATATATATATATATTATTAATGACAAATGCAAGTAAATATATAATGACAAAATGGCATGTAAAGGAAATTGCAAGGTTGCCTGAAAGTAGCATGGTAAGGACCAAGTCCTTAGAATACATATCTTTCATCAAATTTCAAGAATATGTATGCGTATGTATTGGCATAAACCAAAAGTTGATATGATGAATTATGAAACAAATTCTTAAGAACCAACAGTTGTAGTTCATTTGCACATTATGTATACTTATCTATTTGATCCATATCATAAACATGTTTAAAGAAACATTGCTTCATCACCTACCACCTCCTTATCTGGGTTGGAACTGGCCTTTATGTATTGCCTGAACCAAGGATACAATCATGCATATATGGTGAAGAAACAACTTATCCATAAAATTACCAAGGGAAAGATGAGAATGCTAAGATGCATGTTGAAATACAAGGAAAGGCAGAATAAGGAATGATAACATGCATAGGACGGTAGAAGCAGTAACTGCTAATGATAAATTATGAGGGTCTACGATATGGTTGTTTAGGTGTGCTTCTCACATTTCAATAAATTATTGACAGGGAAGGTCAGGCATATTCAGGCCAAAGAAGGAAGGAAAATGAGTGATAGATCTACATGGAAGTGGGATCAAATATTGAAGAAGGATTTCTAAAGATACAGTTCTTAATAGGGTCTAATGGAGTTAAAAGGATCCACAGTAGCAACCAATAGGTTTTAGATTAAGGCTGAGTAGAGTTGTGAAATGCACATTTATCATTACACGCTGTAAGTAAACCCCAAATTGATAGTATCTCCCTCCATCCCTTTTCTATCCACCCCACACCCCCTCTAGGTTTAATTGACATGTCCACCAATCATGCTTGTATTGCACTTTTCTTTTTGGACAATGACTTTACCATTCAAAGGGGAAAAGAATACTCAATCTCAATTAAGAAGTAAAGTGCCATCTAGTTACAGTCCAATCATTAGAGCACTTGTCAAGCATTATCCTTCCACATATCCCCACAGAATTATTAAGCTTCCACATATTCTAGCAATAAGGTAAAAATTTATACCATACCATAAACTTCCATCCTAAATGCTTCTATTGGAACAAATTATAATGGAAGTGACATCAAGTAGTAACTTAGTGGCTTGGTCTATGATTTATTTGACAGTATGATAGAATTTATCAAACGAATAAAAAATGACTTGGGTCACAAAATTCAATTAAACTTCCCCAATGATCACCTTAATTCTTTCAAGCTTGGCTTATTTTCCTATAAAAATTCCTCGTTTGTTTAGTGTTATTCTTTATTATTTTCCTTGCTTCCATGATTCATAGTGGCACATAAATATAAATATCATAAAAACCTAAATACATTTGGGTAGTCAGTTAAAACGATGGTAGTGAACCAACCCTAATTCTAGAAAAACACACTGTTCCCTACCAATGCAGAGGATTCCTCTGCTATTGGAAATTGTTAGCAAGGCCACATTGTAGTTTTTCTGTTATCAAAGAAGTATTAATTGTAAGATAATCTAATAAAACTTCTTGTAACAACAGAAGTCAAGTCATGAAAATATCAAGAAAAAAAAAATAGCCAACTTATACAATAGTATCACAACATTAAAAATACAGGAAAAAAAAAAAAAAAAAGTAAAAGCGGGGAAGACATGCAAGCCACCTCACCTTAAACAATTTGCACAAAGATGCATATGTTTCAAAGAAAAATCACTTCCCAAACGTCATGCCGAAACAAAAAAATAACACTACATTTTCCCATCCAGAAAAGAATTGCTTATCGAAGAAAACAAGAAAACCCACAAAGGAGAGAGAAATCACATTGGATCATAACGGAATCTCAGTCTATACCAGCACCATAATATCGGATTGAGGGAAAGAGTATCATTCGAGATTGATAGAAAAGCAAGGATATGGGCTCGTGTGAGTAGGAAACAGAAGAGACTTCGAGAACCTAGAGGCAAATAGGCTGGATCCCCTTCTTTATCAAAATGTCCGGTTTCTAAATTTTCATGCTCTCCCCCCCCCCCCGTTTCTAAATTTTCATGCTCTCCCCCCCCCCCGGCGTCGGGAATGCCTTGCCAGCCCCCCCCCCCCGGCGCGGGAATGCCTTCCAGAGCCTGTTGAATAATTTTTATAGATTCCATCGTTTCACCAATTCGGACCCCCTAACTCTTCCTCAGCCAGGCTTGGGCAGAATAGCAAAGCAAAAAAAAGTATTAGTAGCATAGCAAAAATGTGTTCTTCGTCATTAAAATGGTTGCTCGCGGTAATTGTGGCCTCTTGGGAGAACCGATGACTGCATCTTTGATGCACTTGCTAGTACTAGTGGATTCGTTATAGTTCCTCCTATGATACTCCAACCACCCCACGAATTGGTTATTCCTAAACGAGTCATGAAGGGTATGCTCTTGCACATTTTCATTAATCCATCAACAAGATTGATATAGACACATAGACTCAATTATTTCTATCTCTATTCCACAAACCAACACAAAAAGGCCAGTCAATACTGTTCCATCTAACATTATAGATTCTCACATAATTTTTTTCACCTATAATTAACATATAAGGCTATTTAACAAGTAGGTTTGAATTGACATGGATTATTATAGAAAGATAACCGTAGGACTGAACTCCTCCCCAAAGCACCTTGGGGGTTTAAAATATTTGTGAATAGATGGATATGAGAATGCACTCTTTATGAGTGTAAATCTTCTTCCTTTGACAGATAATATCTCTTTGAACCAGCAAATCTTCTTTCAAATTTCTCCATGAGAATGTGATAAACAAAATTAGAAGTAATTTTGCTTGAAGGTTAAGTTCTAAGCCAAAGAAACACTCAAGTTGGTGCCCTAACTGATATCTTATGACCTTAGCCAGCTTGTTTTTATAAAGATCACTGCACATAAGAATCAAGTGATATTTCCATAAAATTCACTTTCAGCCATGTTTTTAAATTTCAATCAGATACATGATTTTTTAAATTGTGATCAAAACTATGATTGTAGTGCCTTAGAAGTGGAACACTGTATATTTTTGTAATCATTGACGTTAGAGCTTGATAGAATATTTTCTAAGACATTTTGTGCTGAAGAATAGCCTGTATTTGTTGCCTTGAACTTGTCAGCCCTCAATATAAACAAAATATTTTTACTGCTTCCACTTTGCATCATGAGAGTATAGGAGAAACATGATATCAGCTTTCCTATGAGTCAAGGAACAATATTTTCCTCCCTTTCAGTATAACCTTTTTATACAAAGACTATGAAAAAGATGAAAAGAAAAGGGGGAAAAAGAAAAGTCCCACTCTTCTGGGGAGAACATTAGACTTGCAAATGGTTTCATAACTAATATTTCCTTCATAGTAATAAAAATCTATATCTCCTTTACAATGCAATCAACCGACAGTTCCAAAATTATGAAATATTAATGCCAACTAATATGAAGGATAACTTTCACAATATCAAGCATTACCTTTTGTTAGGCATGGCCACCGGTTCATTTTGAACCGGAACCGAACCGTACTGTAGATGAACCCAAACCTGACCGGACTGTTGATTCAAAGTTTTGAACCGGAACCGGCGGTTCAAGGGCCGTTAAAGTTCATGTGAATGTTAAAATCTGAACCTGAACCGGCCCTGAACCGACGGTTCTGGTCGGGTTCAAACCAAAAACTTTTTTTTTTTTTTATTTTCAAAATGATAATCACTTAGCCTATTTTATACATCTCTAAAAGTCTCAATAATATTTTACTACATGCTATACTTTACTTAAGATTTTTTTTTTTTTTAAATATACTTTACTTTTTATTTTGTTAAATTTAAGTAATTTTTATATCTTATATGAGTCGAGCATTATATATAGCCGGAAACCGTTATCGAAACCATCGATTCATCGGAACCGCACCAGAACCAGCCGGAACCGCACCGGAACCCGCGGTTCAAGGGCCGATTCAGGTTCAACATTTTAAAAATTTTGAACCGGCGGTTCCACGAACCGGCCATGCCTACTTTCTGTGCAGAGGTAATAAATATAGATCAAGAATAAAATTTACACTAAACTTAAAATATAAACTATAATACTAGCACCCCCAAAACTCAAGGGGTGTTTGGCATTGTTATAATTGTTGTTGAAAAAGCATCTCTAAAATATATTGATTAAAGCAATTCAAATTTTATTTTAATGTTTTCCTTGGCATGCATCAGCCATAAAAACTCTAAAACAGCTCCATTTTCTAACTACTATTAAAAATGTATCTAAAAAATGACTACCAAAAAAGCAATTTCAAAAGACATGATCATCAACCCTCAAACTACAACATTTGTCGTTGACTCGACTTCAAAGTGAAGATTACTGCTCTCCGTGTATCTATGAATGTCTGTTGTATAGCAAAACCTACCGTATGGCCTTAAATCACAATTTATGATCTCAAAGCTTTTCAAAGGTTAAAATATACTTGAACCAATATGTGAAAGAGGAAGAGAAGAAGACTATCTCTGAACCATTAGGATTTCTACGACAGCTGGAATTTTGATCATTAACGGGAAAAAAAAAAAAAAGAAATTAGAGTACCCTGAGAAGTGCAATCAGTCCTCCTAC